CACACACACACACACACACGATACGGTGCAGTGGCTCATGAAGAGCTCTAAACCCACTCACCCTGCTCAGACTTTGAGATGAGCTTTGACATCATCGAGCGCAGAACAGGAAAAGGCATGATAGACAGAAGCATTGGCACCTTCACTGTGGTTCAACAGAGAACAAGACACCCATCAAATTACTCATCATGATGCAAGTAACAAAATATACATTTACACCTCATTTTTATTTATTCTAATTTATACTGCTGAGTTACTTAAAGTTATGTTTGCAAAGATTGTGCTGAGCATCGTTTAGAGCTTTATGTCCTCTACTTAGAATAAACAAAGCACTGACAGTACAATTATATCGAGTCAGTTTACGGCGCAATAAAGTGAACAAGATACTGTTACAGTCCATTTAACAGTAACCTGCTCAACAAGCCCTTAGTTTTATTTAAGCAATTTTCTGGGCTTTGTATGTTTTTTCTATAATTCCGTGTCTTTTTTTAAACCTATTTATTTTAAGTAAATCACTAAACTGAAAATAGGAAAGCAACACAGCTGTAGTGTGGACTTTTCTCACCTATGAACATCATTAAAGTGGTTTTAGTAAACGCCACCAGGACCATGCCTGTTACGACAGACAGGATCCCCATCAGGACAATGATCAGCTGCGGTACACCACAGTACGTGAAGACCAACACTCCTCCAAAACTGACCAGGAACACAGTGGTGGACAGTGCTGAGCCGTAGCCAATCAAAATCTCCGTCCAGCACAGTGGTTTGTTGAGCGTGTACAGCGTCATCAAGGAGATCCCACCCACATAAGCAAAGGAGAAGCTGGTGAAGATGAGCATCAGGAGGGCCAAAACTATTTTACACCTGCGGCCGGCACCTGTATACATATCATAGACCCCGCAGATCATCTGTTTCAGGGCCGAGCGCTGGGGAGACCCTTCCTGAATGACAGCATCAGCCGGAGGCCTCTTCACAGTCTCCTCCAGGATGAAAATTGCATAGAGAAGGATCAAAATCTGAATCAACGCAGAGGTTAGGAAAGGCCAGTTAAAGCCTGCAGCTCTCAGGAAGTAGCCCGTTGCTATCGAAGCCACTCCAGCCAACAGGCCAATCATCATATCCAGTCCAGCCATGCGCAGCGTCTTCTGTTGACCGTCCTCACACAGGTCCGCCACGTAGGCGAAACAGCCCCCCAGAAATGTGCCCAAGCCGCCAAACAGAGAGCTGACAAGCGAGGAGCCGATGAGCAGGTAAATGCTGAGCTCAAAGTAGGACACGGTCAGGAAGGCCAGGGTGTAGATCAACGTGCCGATCAGAGGCATGATTATGGCGATCTTACGTCCTCCCCGGTCGCTGTACGCCACGAGCATGAGGGTGACGATCATAGAGGGGATCGTGGAGAAGAGCTCTGTGTAAAGGGAGAAGAGAGATGCCTGTCTCTGTACCTCCTGAAAACACAGAAACGATGGTTAAAGATAAAAAAACCATGAATGGTGAGAGTGCACTATCACTGGAACAGTAACAGCAGGTCTTAGAAAGCAAAATAACAAACGATCCTAAAAGTGGCACACATGAAAGAGAGATATTTTTTAATGTCATGAATTAAATTCTGTTAACATTTTGTGTGAGTTTTTCTTAGTCAGGAGCAAGAGGAAAAAAAAAGTTTCACAAAGTTCTGCAGGTGTAGAAGTGGCTTTTTTAAGATCTGTGTATTTGATATCACTTCCCTTTTGTGTTTCCTTCTTCAGGCTAAAAACAAAAAATACCACGAACCTTATTGCAGAGGAATGTTTCATCTATATCCTTCTTTGTTGCGGTCTGCCTAGGTAAGGTAGTAACAGCAAAATGTCCCTTCCATATTACTTTATGATACAGAAGCTGTATAAGATCGCACTAGCTGCACAAAGAACCCGTGACACAGCAATGACTCAGGGTTAATCTGTGATATTGATAATATTAAATCCATAACAAGATTTCAGCACTCAAAAATACAACCACGTTATTCTTAGGATGTTTTAAATGGTACGAAATTAATGTAATTTAGAAAACAACCTCCTACTTGTTGTGTTTCTTTTTTGTATTGTTTTTTTTTTAACACCCAGTGATTAATGTCTAACCTCATTATAACTCGAGTGGTTGCTGCTGTTGTCTGCACATCTGGAGGTGTTGTCAGAGGTGGGGTAGGTGGTGTTGGTCAGGTCCTCCCAGAGTCTCCGGTACACATACTGCTGCATCAGGGGATATATGAGAAAACTGGAGAAGGCGTAAAGAGCCACCACGGGCTCGACGAGGAAGAGACCCTTCATTTTTGACCTGATGCAATATTCCCTGGAAAAAAGAATAAAAGAATATTTTTAGAAATGAACTCTAATTGCTTACAGGATGTCATTCTCCTCATTACTAGCTACACGCTCAATCTTGCCTAAATGGAAAGATGTGACCCCTCCTGCAACTAGTGGATCAGAGACGTGATGCAGAACATCAAGCTGGCGCACCCTTAACGCTCCGCTAAAACATTCACAAAACATGGGACCCACTGATGAAATAGGTTAATAGTTAACCTATGTGGTCATTTTCGAAACACTTCTATTTATTTTGATACCATTTATTTTTTCTTTGCCTTTGTTTTCCTTTAGTGTTTTCCTTGAACATTGTCTGGTTGTAATGTTTTTGTAATTTGGTGTGTGTGTGTGTGTCAGTGTTGAAAAACCTCAAAAAATAAAAGTTAGAAAAAGGAAATTGACAGGAGCACAGATAACAGTGTAAAAAATACCAAGTATGTCGGTAGTGCATAAAAAGATATTGCAATTTTTGTACCCCACGTATCTTAAACAACAAAACAACCATAACAATATAATCAATAGTTTTTCTTCTATCAGGTACAATGTGCAATGTAAACAGATCTAACTCCAGACACAAGGTAAGAAGTACAAATATCTGTTTTGGTAGTTTCTGCCTGTTGAGGGTTATCAATGAGGCAATGTGCTCAACACGATCGATCCAGCACGATCTGATCATTTGATATATTAAGTCTAAAACAAGGCAATAACCCTGTATTGAACAGTTTGTTCGAGGGAACTCACTCTGCTGCCGGATCTGCAGGTTTGCATCAATATTTACACTTGAGCCTTCAGTTCGTTTTATTAAAAGCTATCGACAGAAACATGCACAGAGCCTTTTACCTTTCAGACGGTGGTCGGGGTCATGTTTTAATCTCTCAGGTCCCATCAGCTGCTCCCTGCAGCGGCTCGACCTCAGATCTTCTGTTGTCTCGTTGTACGAAGTTGTTGTGAAAGCTACAAGCCCCGCCCCTCGCTCATTGTGATTGGAGCAGCCTTTCGAGGCGTGCGTTCATTCGCCCAGAGGAACTGTCACTCACGAGAAAAGCCGGACGAGTGCATTGTATGACACCGCAACGCGACCTTTATCGATCGTTAACATCGAATTAAATCACGCGTAACTGTTGTTTTTATCATTTTCTAGCTAACGACGTGGATTTGCGTGATTCAAACGCGTCTTTTGTCGTTACATAAAAGCGTGCGCCGCAGTTTCACTGGGTATTACGGTAACAACACGCATGCGTACCTCGCGTCGGGAGATCGGGATGTACCATTATACTCCGGGGGGGGGGGAAGCAGAGTAGGAGTCACAACCCGAGAAGGAGAAATGTTAGAGAGACATTCATTAAATATTCATCTCACCGTAGTATAAACAACACGTGAATGAAAGGTGGAATGGTGAAATTAAACTGGTAAAGTGTTTACACTTAAGAAGACCTGGGACCCTACGACTGGACTGCACCAAAAAGTATTTCACTGCCCCTGGTGCTTAGAGTATTTTAAAATACTTCTTTACAATTTTTTGGTTTTATATTTTTGTGTATTTTTAAATTTATTCTTGCACAAATTCACCACAGCAACTTCCTTCAATGTTGTAAAACTGCTTAGCGATAAAACCTCATTCTGATTTTGCGACGTATTAAAGTGTTTTTTATATTTTTACGTGTCAGCTTCTTTTAAAATGAAATGTAACTTAGGAACAAATAGAGGGATGCCATTTTTAATTTTATTGAATTGATCGCTAATGTTAATCAATGTCGAATGAACTAAATTAAGATTAAATAAGATCATTCTGCTGCTTTTCATTCAAAATGTTGTGTTTGTTTTTTTAATTGTTTTATCCGGTCGATTAAATTTTAAAAAAACACAACGTATAAATAAGTATTACGGTAACGTCAGGTGGGCGTGCCTTGTGTTGGAATGTACCATTAAGCCGAAACACACCGGGAGGGATTTTGTTGTGACAGCGGCGGAGTCACAACCAACCCGGCGGGGGGAGACGGTAAGGAGGCGTCCATCATCTTCCTGAGATTTAAACACACAGATAAAACTGGGGGGGGGAAACGCCTGCACGTGTTTTATCTCATTACAAACGTCAGAGAGTTTTAAACGTGTGCGTCAGAACATTAGGAGTTTGTCACCCCGGACGTGCAGGTTGGTACCAACCATGAACACAAGCTAGCGAGCGTTAGCCTCGTCCCTGTGATTAATCTAGCTAGCTTAGCTAACACCTCCAGCGACCGTTCAACTCACCGCGAGCTGCCTCCGCGGTGTCACCGAGTCGTCGCCGCCGCAGCAGAGTTTCTCATCTCTCTCCACCGGGAGTCGGAGGCTGCGGGGCGGGTAAAGGTGAGCGGCGGCTGCGGCAGTAGAGTCGTGACTGTCGGTACCAGGATGGATGATTCCCCCCCCCCCATCTCTCCCGGCCTAACTAACGTTATCGTCCGCGGAGCTCGAGCTGCTCACCTGCGATGCTCACTTTTCAAATTAAGATTCAGTCTTGATGTGTGTGTGTGTGTGTGTGTGTGCGCGCGCGACTTCCGCAATCGAAGCTAATTTCGCAATGTTTCGGTTTTGCTCTTCTCACTGTGTGTTCGCCCAGAACACAACTGATTTCCTGCAAAGCTGCAAGATTCGTTATTAATGCAAATCAAAGTAAAACCCCAGATGTGTTAACTGCAGTGAGAGAGACGTGCTCTCACTGAACTTGATTCAAAATCATCTGTAATAACTTGAATATAAAGATAAATAAATCCATACACGCTAAAAATCTGTGATAATTATCATCACAATCATTGTTATTGTGATTAGTATGGCAATGATAAATCATTATTCATCATACAGCAAATATATCAACAAGGTTTAGTGCTTGAAATTGTTGTTTCCTTCAAATTGTAAGTTCTTTGCTCCTGAGTGAAGGCTGTGGTTTTAAACTCTTGCTAAACAACAAAACAAATCTGAGGTCTAACTTCTACAACCTACCCCGTCTTATATCTCCGCTCCATTTTTGCACACTTCACAAGAAATACATCGATTTATATTTGTCATATTGTTATGGATGACAGTGTTACTGCAATGGTTATTGTTGTGGTTTAATCGCCCCGTCCTATGATAACACCATGAAATCACGTCTTTGGTCGCCTACCCATCATGTTACAGATTTTGTGTCTCCTGTCTGATCTGCTGTCATTTATCGTTTTTGGTTTCCAGGTCATAACGTAGGTTTTTTTCATCTTGAATCAACAATGGCCTTCAGCAAGGGATATCGCATTTACCACAAGCTGGACCCGCCCCCCTACAGTGTCATAGTGGAAACAAGGACCAGGGAAGAATGTCTCATGTTTGAATCAGGGGCTGTTGCTGTTCTGTGTAAGGCTGGCATCTTGTCTGATTGTCCTGTGATAACTTGTGCTTTTATGTTATGATAAGGTAGCAGGAATCATTTAGCCTAAACCTTTAGAAAGTGCACCACCGTTATTTTTCTAATATTGTGTCGTTTTCTTTGCCTTCTAGCGGCAGCAGAGAAAGAGGCCATTAAAAGTACATATGCCAAGATAGTTGACGCCTATGGAATCCTGGGCGTCCTCCGCCTAAATTTGGGTAAGCTGCAGAAACCTCTTCTCTATGTTTTGCCTCTTGTTGCCTCGGAAACGTTCTGGGTCCGGTCCTGGATTTGACCCCTCGGTTCATGTATGACTGCGAGGGCTTGTCACTGGTTACTCATAAGCTGCTTTCTTCTGTCCTCCACGTGACCTTGGAGACTCTTGTTATCACAACACATAAAAAGCCGTGTAAAAGATTAAAGCTCAGTCTTATAGATGGCTGGATGGATGGGGATTTTTTGAAAATTACTATTGTTTCTTGGTTTTAATGTATTTTTAATGCAGTTATGTCCTTACTTCTGCAGGGGACTCCATGCTCCACAGTCTGGTGGTGGTGACAGGATGTAGCTCTGTGGGGAAGGTGCAGGACTCTGAGGTTTTCAGGGTCACGCAGACAGACTTTATTTCCCTGAAGAATGATCCAGGAGATGAGGACCGGATCGCTGAGGTGCGAAAGGTCCTGAACTCAGGACACTTCTACTTCGCTTGGTCTTCCACTGGAGTCAGTATGGACCTGAGTCTCAATGCACATCGCAGGATCATAGAAGATACGACAGATAACCGCTTCTTTTGGTAAGCGCGTGAAATGATCTCTGTTTCAGAGTAACAGTATTTTTGAGTCGATTACGCACATTTGACTTGTAAAATACCAAAAGATGTAGATGAACTAAATACATGTCCTGTAATTTGCCCAGTCCTCCATTTGTGGTGAATTCTTCTGAAAGTGTGACTGTGTGATTTGCAGCTAAGGTGTGAAAATGAACAGTTCACACTGAATTTGTTTGTGTGTTTACTGTTGATTTGTCTCTTTATGAATCAAAAGGAACCAGTCTCTGCACCTGCACCTGAAACATTACGGAGTAAACTGTGATGACTGGCTGTTGAGGCTGATGTGCGGCGGTGTGGAGATCAGGACCATCTACGCAGGTCACAAACAGGCCAAGGCCTGCATTTTCTCCCGCCTCAGCTCGGAGCGAGCCGGCACGCGATTTAATGTCCGAGGAACAAACGACGATGGACAGGTCGCCAACTTTGTGGAGACTGAACAGGTGAGACCTCAGACAGTTGTGTTGTTTCTCTCTGTTTGATAAAAAAAAAACTGGTGGTCAAAAATCCCTTTGATGCAGCAGTGCCAATAGGTTTAGTAGATTATAGATGGTGTTTTCAGAGGTGGACAAACAGAACAAAGAGCAGGAGACACAGAAAAGCTTCAGTCAGTTTAATGTTTACATATTGTATCGTATGCATTTGTTCATTGAGTCCCATGACCTTGGTTGATACACTCTTTGTAAATACTGGTTATCTATTGACTGGTCAGGAGCAGCAAACAGCCTCGCTCTAACGTGTACCATGTATCACTGTAAATGTAATTTTTAAGCCCCAATCAGAGGAACTTTACTTTGTAGCAGTTTAGTGAATGAACTTATGTTCAGTCAGTATTTTTTTTTTTTTTTTTTTTAGCTGAAGACGTGTTTATGTGGCTGTGAAAGCTCACATTTCTACTCTTGAGAAAAAACATGACAAAATAAGTCACTCTCATTTTCCCTTTTTAAAGTTCCTGTTTTAGCAAAGTTACAGTTAGCGGCAGGTTGGGCACAGTAACTGGAACTACTACATTCACAATTCAGTGTCATAAAGTACAACTACACCCGTATTCTCTCAAAAATTACAGTTTCAATAATTTCCACAGATTCAGTGTCAATGTCTGAATGTAACTGTCATTACCATTAGCCTTAGCCGTTGCAGGGGTTTTGTGTTGGATTGCATTGTGTTGTCAGGTGCTCTGGTTATTTCATTTTATTCATGTTATTCTCATAGAGGAATTCACATGTTGCCAATGGTTTAATTCCACTCTCACTTTCTATTTTCTTTGGTTAGGTGGTTAGTTGTTTGTTTTGAGATTCAAATATTTTATTCATAAGCGATTTGATATGTTTGTTTTTTTTTGTATCCCAACTGTTCAAATTATTGTCATTTATTTTCTGAAAGTTTTGTCATGTGCTAAATAAACCTGACCCCACTTCCCTTTTCTCTATCACAGGTTATTTTCCTGGATGATAAAGTTTCCTCCTTCATACAGATCCGTGGGTCCATTCCTCTTTTCTGGGAACAGCCAGGAATCCAGGTAATGAAAATAAGTTCTGTTCCACATAACCAGCTTTGGATTCTGAGGTTTTGATATAACAAGAAAATCAACGTTTTAAAAGCATATGGATGAGACTCACTCTGTGTGCATAGTGTAAGTGTAAACACTGAATTCCGATGAAACGTGCAGGTGTGGAATAATTTGGAGAAAAAAAACAATAGTTTGTATTTGCTAAGACAGTGAAAATACACTATGTTAACACATTTTGTCCATGCTGTGTTCAGAAAAAGTCCATTAAGGGTGTTTTGTTGCATCTGAATGAGAATCGAAACGTTAACGGACCGGATGAAAACCCCCACCTGGTATAACCCTCTTTTTGCTCTGTGTGGTGCTGGCGCTTTTTTTTTTTTACTGCGGATGGGAGTTGCTCTGTGCAATGCCAGGGGGATGAACAGGGATGAAAACTAAAACACACCCATTGTGGATTTTAATTCAGGTCCCATACGTAGGTCCTGTCCATAAAATACCAATTTAGAGCTTTACAGTAAGAACTAGGATCGTCCATTTAATGCACACACCATCCCTGGGATTCTCTTTCTCCTGTCCTGACATTGCACAGACTGATGGATTAGAGCAGATGTGGGAGTTTAATGATAGATACAGTGGTTGGTAAAGGGCATTTTTCTGTTTTTCTCAGCTCCCAGACTTCTTTGGTCAGGTGAGAGCCTGGTCTGAAAACATCCCCCAACCACTTCCCTTCACTGAGGCTATTAATGTTCCTCTGGTAACTGGATAGGTGTGAACAGATAATAAGGATGAATGGACGGAGATGTTCGATCATGTAGAGGACTCAGTCAAGGCCATATTAGTAACCTATTCACTTTGGTTTTGTTCAAACACAGGGTAGTTGGTTCGGGGTTGTTTTCAGACCAACCTGTAGTCCTCCTGCTTTTACAACACTGTTTTATCTCTTAGACCCCTCTACCAACTGTGGCTTGTAGGCTTACTCTCTCCTCGCCATTCTCTGCAATTCATTCCCTGAGCAGGATAGTTTCAAAAAGCTTGGATAGAGTCATTGATCTTTAAACAGTTAGTGTAAATGACAAATACTTCTGAATTAGTCTCTGAATCTTATTTGTAGAACAGCATTTTAAAACCCTGCTAGGAAACATGTAAATCAATAAGGTGGTAGGATTGCCCACACGTAGTCAGTGAGTCCTGGTTGATGAATAAAATAGAATTATTTTTACGATTGTTTTGGATTTAATTGGTGGAAAATTATGTCTTGTGGCATCAGTCAGTTACTTACAGATTCAAGGATCAATCAAAGTAAGTTAAAAAGATAGGTTGAAATCCGTTGAGCTGGAGGTGGTTTTTGGTCCGAGGTGTACAGCTGTAACCTGAGTCCTTTCTGATGCCATCTCAGGAAGTTATTAAATATGCATAGCATTGACATGCACGACAGTAGAGATGGGATGTGACAAAATGGCAGAAGCATGGAGCAAATGTTTCGTCCTGCCAAACACAGGTCTCACCAGAATAGGCACACACACAAACATACATGAATACAATGCAGAGGGAAATATAAGTGCACAGTGCAAAAAAANAAAAAAAAAAGACAGAAACTAGAGTTTTGAGAAAGGAAAGTCCAGTAGAAGCAAAAGGAGACAGACCCAGAATAGGGACAGGAGGGTTATGGATTTCTTTTAGCTGGTAAAAGGCTATTAGAGACAGAAAGAAAGGATGATTTTTAAAATATTAATACCTTCACATAACTCATATTTAGGGCTGCACCATATATCAAAAATCTGTCGTTATTGCGATATCAACATGCGTGATAGACGTATCGCAAAACACAACAAAGACTGTCATAAATGGTTTTCCATGCACCGTGCTTTCACACTCTGTATGTCAATATATTTAGCCAATCAAATGGAGCCCTGCTGCCCTAGACAGGAAATTAAAGACATTCAGATCAATGACTTAGTGGAGCTGGCATGGCCTATGTGGAGAGATGGTCTAGTATTAGATCGACCTCAAGACCTAATGGAAAAACACCTAAAGAAGTAAAAATTCCTTCACAGGGTAGGGAACAAGTAAGGACCTGCAGCGTGGAATGAGCTGGTTTCCATGTCGGAGCCATTGGGCTTGTGTCCTGCTTAGTCTGTCAAGGTGCAGTCATGTGGTGATTGTCTTGATTTAGACATTGTACAATCAAAATAACAGAGTATGTAGGAGAGTAATTGAAATTAAAAAAAGCTCAAACCAAGAAGAATTCAATGAAAGTGTTGAAGAGGTTTTAGAGAGATAACAATATTTCTCTGCTGCTCAGTGTCTTTATGTGTACGAACATGCTGCCCCCATGTTGCTATTTTTCCTACCCTGCTTTCATACTTTATTTTGGACTCAATGGTCTCATTTCTGCTGTTAAAACGTTGTTTAAAACTTCATCTTCTATCCCAAATCCATTCTTCATCACCAGGTTTTGTGGCCATCTGCAAAATTAGAAATGTGTCCATCTTTCCAGATTTTATCTGTAACAAAGGAGAACTTCTGACTTGTCTCTTTTTTGTCTTTTGTGACTGTCTCCTCTCTGCAGGTTGGCTCTCATCGTGTCAAACTCTCAAGGGGATTTGAGGCTAATGCACCAGCATTCGAAAGGTAATTAAAATGTTCTGTGTCGTATGTGGTCATTGTCCCCAGCTGCTTTATCTGGCCTCAAACTGAGCACAGCTCCTTAGAAGACTGTAGAAAAAAAACATAATACTGTGTTTGCTGCAGCCACTGCCCTAATTACAACAGTGAAAAGCTCTCCAGACTCTTGAAGGAGATGATGTTAATTGAAGTCTGTCCTCAGAGACAGGTTTATTGCAGGGAACAGAAAGGAAACATTAGGAGCCCTTGATTAACTGTCGACCTGAGTAAACTGTAATTCATATTTATTTCAGAAAGTTTCTTTGTAGTAGTCCTTGCTGAACTTTTTTAATATCTCTCAAGAAAGTACAATTATTTTACAATGCACCTAATTAAAGTTGGGTTTGTGAGTTGTGTCTGAAATACTTTTTATATAATTTATTAAAATCCTCTTCACGTCCCGATAGCCACCAATAAAAAAAAGTCTTGTCGAGCCTTCAATAAAAAAGCTAGTGTCTCTGGCCGGGGACTTATCTGGTACATTTTTTCAATGAGTAGTCTGCTCTTGTAAGCTTTTCCTGGATCTTCAACCCTATTTTTAAGTGTGCATGTGTGTTTCTGGATTTTAACTGCTTCTAAATCAACATTGAACAATAAATAATGTTGAAATTCTAAATTGACAGTTATGTGCTTTCTGAAATGGAACCTTCCAGGGATGGAAGCGTTAGTAGTTTCTTTTTCACGCAGTAGTTTGATGTGTGCAATCACCAGAACATCATTTTAATTGTAAACAGGTTATTCTACTTTTACCTTTAACATTACATTTGAGGATGAATCCATTTAACTCATCACAAATGTGCCCTTTCCCTGTCTACAGACACATAACAAACGCAGGGTCAGCAGCAGAGAGTTATTAGTAGATGGACTGCCACTGTGGCTTAAACCCAGCCCCTCTACGGGGAAGATGATCACCCTAATCACTGTGCCACACCCAGATAGCGCCCTGCTTATCAGTCTTGCAGTAGCCACGCTGTCTGACATTTTGCTATGTAGTTTTAAAGAGACAGTTAGTGGTTGTTTGGTAACCAGACATCAGGGACTATAGAGGACAGTCTCTGCAGGGCTGAGCTCAGTGTGTCTGCCACATTTTCTCATGCTTTCTGTAACTTGCCAAGACAAACAGACAAGTCAGACTTGCATCATTTTTAAACATCTGTTAAGAGCAGGGACGATGTGTCACCTCATGTAACATCAGGTTGGTTTTTGCAGTTAGTGTTTCAGATTAGTCAGTCAACATTTCTTACATGAACACCTTTTTATAAACACATGTCTGCATGTCTCCTCTCCTGTTGCCTTTCTATACATATCTACTGGATTTTAAACTAGTTATAGCAGATGGAGTGGAAGTATTTTCTCTTACGTGTCCTTGCTTTGCACGATGCCACATTCAGTTCTCAGACCTACAGCTTGACAAAACAACATTGTAAGCTGTTGTTGATGAATCAGACATGTCTTGTGTGTACAGTATTATCGAGCTTAAAAAGGAAAAACATGCATTGCGTAACCACTAGCCTGTGATGTCATTTCAACCAATCCAGTGCATATTATGGGATTGTGTATGTTTTCCAGACACTTCAGTGCGCTGCGGAGGTTGTATGGTAAACAGGTGATCATCAACCTGCTTGGGAGTAAGGAAGGAGAGCACATGCTCAGTAAAGCGTTCCAGGTGAGAGGAACCCTTCACTAACATGTACAGCTTCATCTGATGCCTCCAACATGACTGAATCAGTCCACAACACACTGACAGCAAACAATGTGTGTCAAGACAGATGCTCTTTGTAAACCCACACCCTCACAACAGTGAGGAATTCGTTTGAGTAGGTGTACACTACATCCCGACTCAGAATGTTGTTTTACTGCTCCCTCTTGCCGAGGGAGTCCCTGGTTCAAACACATCAAACACATCAAACACTCCCTGTGCAGATTATTTATCCAAAAAACATGAACTCACATTTTCCTCTGTGGTCATAAAGCTGTCACAAAACACTTGAAGAGATTCAAAACCCCACTTTGTTGGATAATATTGAAGAGTTTCATTGTTATTGTATTATATATAACACTAATATATAGTATTAAATACAGAAGATTTCACTTTCCACCTTAGTTATTGCTGCACAATTCATAATGATTATTTCAAAGATAACAGATAGTTATGACAGTGTAAAATAAAGTAGAATTAAAGTTTAACTGAGAATCATTATTTATCAAATGCAAAAAAAATGTTTTAGATTTTAAAATGTCAAATCTATCTGGTTCTATGTACCAGGAAGCATAGTCAGATATCAACAGCAGCTCATGTCTTAAAACAGGACCTGCACGTTCAAAGATTTGCTGAAGATTCAAGTCACTGGTTATGTATCAGTGAACGGAAGTAAATGTTGCTTCATGCAGAGGCAATGCACCTTTCACACACAACATGTTGGCGTAACATTGTTTGCATTAAGTTTGAATTTGTTGGATTAAGTCTTCTTCCCGTCTTTCTTTTCCAGAGTCATCTAAAGGCGTCGGAACATGCGACAGCAGTGAAGATGGTGAACTTCGACTACCACCAAAATGTGAAGGGAGGCAAAGCAGACAAACTTCACAGTATCCTAAAACCCTATCTCAACAAATTTGTAGAAGAGTGCGGGTTCTTCTATTACGCTGCAGACTCAGGCATCAGAAGGTGAGAAGGAAATGCAAACATATTATATGAAGTGGTAGTTCATTTAAATTGTAAAGCAAAATGTTGGTTATTTTAAATTTTACCGTGTCTTTGAAGGACTCAGGGTGGGACCATCAGGACCAACTGCCTGGACTGTCTGGACAGAACTAACAGTGTACAAGCCTTTTTCGCCCTCGAGGTAGGAGTCTGACTCTGAGCGCTAAGCTGTTGTGTTGTTAGAACATTTTCATTTCTTCAGTCAAGGTACATTGTCTTTTGCGAGGATGTTGTCCGTCTGACTCTCTGCTCCTCACAACTGCAGATGCTGCCGAAGCAGCTGGAGGAAATGAGTCTGACGGAGAAACCCCAGCTGGTGGCCCGGTTCCAGGAGGTTTTCCGGACCATGTGGTCGGTCAATGGAGATTCCGTCAGTAAGATCTATGCAGGCACCGGTGCTCTGGATGGCAAGGCCAAGGTACAAAATATGGACACACTGAATACTAATATAATTACTTTCAATTCCAGTTAATCATAATAAGAAAATGTTAAGCAGCATGTATTACACAGCAGGTTATCTGGCTGCCCTTGATGTAGGATTTCTATGATTTGGAATGATGGAAGGAACTTAGTCAGACGTCAGTTTAGCTCACATCAAACAGCCTAATGAATGAAGCCATTCAGCCATAATATGTTAAAAGACAAAACAATAAATGGCTCAAATAAAAGGCTGAAGCCCTGTACAGTATGTTTAAACAGAAATAAGGATTACAAATGTTTTTATTTTACTTTGATAGGAACTTAAATAATAGTCATATCTAGTTGATAATGTGCAGTTGCTCCTCTGTGAGCACAGCTGAGCTCTTTTGTCTCCTAACTCTCGTGTGCTGTCTCTTTCTGCCGTCCTCTGGACCTCTCACCTGTCGGTAAGTTGACAAGTCAGTTGATGTCGTATTTGAGCTGTGGGTCTATTTTTCGTGCATTATTGATTGCAGTGTCTGTGGGTTTAATGATGATGATGATGATGATGGAGGATGATGATGGAGGATGGGACAGTTGGAACCTTTTTTTATATATAAGTATATTCCTAAAAACCTGATTTTATTTCCCTTGAGGTGTCCCAATGATGCACTCTATCTTTACCAGGCAACAAGTGTTCCTTGGAGGCTTCTGTGATTTACATTGCATTCATCATTTTCTCACTGTGGTTTCATTTGCTTGAACTGGCAACATCTGCTGACCTGATTGGTTGAAACTGGAGAGATCATTTCAAATTATTGCAATTCGGCAATGACTCAAAATGAGTTGCACATGAATCTCTGGCAGTTTTGATCGTTCGTGGTCAGTTAACGAGTATGAATGACTTGAATCTCTTTTATTTCAACTATAATTAGAACAACTGTTTCTGAATTATTGTGTCTTTCTTGTAGGCTGGGAAGCTGAAAGACGGAGCTCGCTCTGTGACGAGGACCATCCAGAACAACTTCTTTGACAGTTCGAAGCAAGAGGCGATCGACATCCTGAGACTGGGCTCCACACTCAACAGTGATTTGGCGGATAAAGCTCGGGCCTTGCTCACCACTTCCAGTCTTTATGGTAATTCTTTCCTACATGGGTGGAATAACACATTATTTATATGATTCAACAAACTACTTTTTGTATAAAATCTACTTATTGAGAGTGTAAGAAATGTGTATTTGTATATTGTAATAGCAGAGAATATATTTTCCTTTTTGCTCCATGAAGGAAGATTTTTCGGAGTATGTTGATCTGTGTCTGTATCCCGGTAAGCCACAAGCTGCTCCACAAAATAGGAGGGTTTGTCTGTGGCACGTCAAGTGGGAAGTGTAATCTCCATGTGTCAGCCCTCTGTCCCAGTTAGATTACTGCTGACCGACTGCTCTGCTAGCATTATCTGTGCAAGCGCTGGTTTAACCCGCCCTTCTCTCCCTTCTCTCCCTCCTGCTCTTGCGCACAATCTTAGTCACTGAGCCCGTCTTACAATCAGGTATAGTAACTGAAAGACTGCCCCCAGTGGATGGATGTTTTCATCCTCTGTCACGCACTGTATTTGTCCTTCCATCTGTGTGTCCCTAGTCATTATTATTTATTCATTTATTAGTGGACGTTGGTAGTGGTTTAACACTCTGTCTTTTGTATTTGATCAGACTCCTGCAACAGTGGAAGAGGTTTACATTTCTTCTAGTGAAAATTTAGAGAGCAAAATGAACCATTACCAATGTTGATTATTTGATTTTTATCTGTATGTCAGTAAAATAAAGATAACAAGATGTATATCCCTCCTCCTGTGCCCCATTTTAGACCATTGTTTTGTATTTCCTCTGTTGTATTAGGACACTCTCCCATTGGTTTTGATTTGATCTTTTCCCATTTCTGTAGTTTCCTTGTGTGCCACCCTTCCGACAGATACACAAATACTCCACCTCTTCACACTCTAATCACACTCTCCTCCCATCTGCAGCCTCCCCAAGAGTATTGCTGGGAATGTGTCAGAACTACCATAAATACACAATGCCCAAGCAGATCCGTGTGTGTGTCGGCACCTGGAATGTGAACGGGGGTAAACAGTTTCGCAGCATTGCTTTCCGCAACCAGACACTCAACGACTGGCTGCTGGATGCTCCAAAGAAGGCAGGGCATCCTGAGTTCCAGGGTATGTTGGTTTTCATCTATCTGCATTTACTGATGATAAATATCATCAAGCTTGAATCTTCAGTTTGACCAGGAAATATTAATACATACACTTCCATCTCAACATGAAGAAGTCTTAAAAAGAAACTTTGATATTTTATAACTGTGCTGTCAGTTTTAGCTCGTTTGTCTTTATGCATGCATGTTTGTATTTAATGTAAAATACATTTTGTGTTTTATTACATGTATTTGTCATAAAGGTTTCACATCTTTTAATCATTGTCACATTTTTAAAAAATCTATAAATTGGACAATTATATCGTTATCAGAAATCTTTTACTTTTTAATATCGGTGCCAGCCTCAAAAATTCAGATAGGTCGGGCTCTACCTGCATTAAATCACTACATCACTAATTACATTTTATGGTGAAATACATTATAATCACTTTTCATCAGGCTTTTGTATTAAACTTTTTTTTTCTCTTTACAGACAGCAAAGCCAACCCCATCGATATATTTGCCATCGGTTTTGAGGAAATGGTTGAACTGAATGCTGGCAACATCGTCAGCGCCAGGTATGTGTCCGAGAAACCAGCCTGAAATAACCCAGAAGAGTTCATGCAATAGCTGAGACATTTCTCCTTTAGGCTACATAGAGTACATACGGTATAGAATAACTATATGAAAATATATTGCCGTATATAAAAGCTTGATGTCCATGGATGTGCAGACTCAGTAGCGGTACTGACTAAGTCTGATCAGACAGGACCAACATGACTTAACCCAGATGTGAATTATTTTCTTTGACAAGGTTTTTGTAAAATCTGGAAATTTAAGATGTTGATAATTACAGTGACTTACTGTATTGTTTTCTTGTATTATTCTATTTCTACACTATAACACACCTTTCTGTTCTTGTCTCAGCACCACGAACCAGAAACTGTGGGCAGCTGAGCTCCAAAAAAACATCTCACGGGACCACAAATATGTTCTACTGGCTTCAGAGCAACTGGTGGGAGTGTGTCTGTTTGTTTTCATCCGCCCACAGCATGCACCCTTCATCAGGTATGACCTTTACATGTTGTCACGAGAAAGGTGTATAATAATAGTGTGATCACAGGTGTGATAATACATGTGATCTGTTATCCAGGGATGTGGCTGTAGACACTGTAAAAACTGGCATGGGCGGAGCCACAGGCAATAAAGGTGGTGTTGCCATCCGCCTCCTGTTCCACACCACCAGCATCTGCTTCGTCTGCTCCCACTTCGCTGCTGGCCAATCACAGGTCAAGGAGAGGAATGATGACTACAATGAGATCACGCGCAGGCTCAGCTTTCCCATGGTAATAATAATAATAACTCCTCCATCAGCTACCCCATCAACATTTTAAACTGTGGAGGCCACAGACTCAAGTTCATACTGTCATTTTATGGATTGCCTGGAACTGATGTCATATTTGCAGACTGGCTCATAAAAAATCAACTGTTTGTTTTGCCTAACTTGTATCCGCAACTGCATCTGTCTTGTCCTCCAGGGTCGTCTGCTATACTCGCACGATTATGTGTTCTGGTGTGGAGACTTTAACTATCGTATCAGCCTGCCCAACGAGGAAGTAAAAGAACTCATCAAACAGCAGAACTATGAAGCCTTGACAGCTGGAGACCAGTTGTTGGATCAGAAGAATGCTGGTTTGGTATGACCCAAAGAAAACATGCATATTTGCAGCACTACTGAATGTTAATGACGTTTTGTAGACTTTAAATGAAAATTAAAGGTTTTATGTTTTATGTCTTTAAAAAAGCACAGTAGAAATACACACAACATTTACACTTAAGCTCATAATAGAATGCTTTTTCTTCCACAGGTCTTCCGAGGTTTTATCGAGGGAAAGTTAGATTTTGCTCCCACCTATAAGTATGACCTCTTCTCAGAGGATTATGACACTAGCGAGAAGTGCCGCACACCAGCCTGGACTGACCGTATACTCTGGAAGAGGAGGAAGTGGAACTTTGACAGAACGGGTGAGACACAGAGCCACTGTCGTACCCAACCTAAATTATCTCACGCCGCTCTAACAGTGGCATAATTATCCTGCTGTCCTGCCTGCCTTCTTTAGTTCATCACTCAAAACTACAAACCACAGCACTAAAAACGTAAGAATACTTAATCTGTAAATGTTCTTCTTGCACTACTTGTAGCTGAGGAGATGAATGTAGTAGGTGCAGCTTCTACGTCTGGGGAGAATGAGGAGGATCTAGACAAACCTTGGAGCCCCGGAATTCTGAAGTACTATGGCAGGGCTGAGCTTAAGACCTCCGACCACAGGTAACAACAAGATTTTGTTCTTTTTATGTCACATCTGTGTCAAGTGAAGAATAATCTGAGCTATAGCAAAGGTTACCACTTCCGTTCTGTATCGTCTGGTTTCAGGCCTGTGGTGGCAATAATGGACGTGGACATCCTGGAGGTCGACCCAGATGCTCGGCACCAGGTTTACAAAGATGTCATTGCCCTACAGGGGCCACCAGATGGAACCATCCTGGTGTCACTCTGCTCCTCCGGCCCTGAGGACTACTTTGGAGATCCGCTCATAGACGAGCTGCTGGACCAATTTGCTCAGTTTGGAGAAGTCATCCTCATCAGGTGAGTCTGACCTCCTGTCTCAGAAAGACGTATGTGCCCATCATTCGGTTGGACTACATTGATGGTGTCCTTGTTTGTGCAGGTTTGTTGAGGAGAAGATGTGGGTGACTTTCCTAGAAGGTTATTCTGCTCTTGCTGCTCTTTCTCTCAGTGCTTCCACTGTAAGTCATCACAAATGAATCTAAAATACTTCACATCAGAAATATTGAATATGTACACTGCTCTATCTTTTTGTGGAACACTGTTTTGTCAGTTGTATATCAAAGTAATTCTATTTTGCCTACATCTCTTTTGTTAGGTCCTTGGCAAAGTGATTGACATCCGTCTGAAGAGTCCCGGCTGGATCAAGAGTCTGGAGGAGGAGATGAGTGTGGAGAGGATCTGTGGAAGTATCCCCACCTCAGCCAGCTCCACTTTGCTCGCTGAGGACACAGACATGGGAGACGATGACTACGATATGGAGGGTGAGCAGCTACATGTAATCTCAACCCGGTTCCTCAGAAATGTAGACTGGGAATTCCAGTCTGTTTAATTCCCGCCCTCTTGTCACCTGCCCCAGGTGATGTGGACGAGGAGGTGGAGGAGATCCTTCCCCAGCACCTACAGCCTGGAGCAGGCGCCGGCCCTGGATCCTCGCCTCTGCCCTCCCCCCGCAGCAGCCCCTGTCCCTCCCCGACCCACGGAGAACCATCTGCTCCCAGCAGACCCAGTCGTGCACTGCAACCCTCCCGACCATCACAAGGTGAATAACACTTGATATCAGGTGGCTAAAAGTGCAGACCAATCATATGTTGGGTCTTGATCATAAACTGCAATTTTGCTCTGTTTGTGATTCATGGAAGCTGAATTAAGTCCATCACCAGTGAGGAGACATAGTTCAGGTAATGTGACATGTGTTTAGTGTGAGAAGGCTTGTGGTGTGTTAAATAGTGCAGTATTAAACTGTGTGGAGTGTTAGCTTTATCTTTCCGCAAATCACAACTGTGCATGAAGATGAAACTGAAAAATGACACTGTGTGAAGAAATGTTTTTTCCTAAATGGCATTAACCCGTGCTCTTTCCCAGAGGAATCAGATTGTTTTGGGAACAGTGCAAAGGTTCTTTTGTGTATTGCGTGAATGTGAACGGTTTCAGATTGGGCAATTGCACACATGACTAGTTGTTCTCAGGTGAACCACTCCTTTTTCATGTGTAAACATACTTCCCTTTCATTGTTTATTTTATTCCAGGGCCTCCTGTTGACTTCCAGCCAGGTGCCCCCACATCTTTATGCCTGGAGCCCAAGCGTGCACCCCCCCCTCGTCCTAATGCACCTCCAGCCAGACCAGCACCCCCTCAACGTCCACCACCACCTTCAGGTGAATCATCACCCTCAACCACTTTGTTTACAGTTTATTAAAACCTAATTTTCTCCGCCAATGCTAATCAGAGCAACTAAAATAACGTCCTTCATGTGAAATGGGGGTATTTCATGTTTCATCTTGGTACAGTGTGAGATCCTTTAGGCACCCGTTAACATTTTCACCTTTGTCCCACTGCTTCCACTCACTCCTGAAGGAGGCATGAGCCCTCTTCCAGTTAGGAAGGACTCTGGAGGTAAAGTCATTGCTGTAGACCTGTGTGTTTATGTGCATACATTGCTGAAGCATTCAAAGTAGTGGCTGCTGTTTTCCATCTGCTGCTACACACAGAGAAGCACATTGCATTGGTGCTGATTCAGCAAGCTGTCATCATTATAAGTTATTTTAGACTGAGCTGCTTCTTTGTTTTGTGGGATTTCTGAACACCTGATCCCCGTGTGCAAAGAGCTACATGCCGTCATAAACTGTAGTTGTCCCCTGACTTTGTAAAACCTGACCTCATATACGTATGACTGCTGACAGCTTACTGGAGTATTTCAGACCATGCTTTTTTGTATCACGGCTGCATCATCATAGAATAAGTTCCTTTGCACTGATTTGATTTAATTATATTTTAACACACAGGCAGGAAAATGTATTTATTCACTGACATATTGAAATGTTGCGACCCTCTCCTACATCTGAATGCATGTACACACTGCTGCGCTGTCCTCAGGTTCGGCTTCAGCTTTTCAACTTGGTGAGTGTTAGATTAGGTGTGTGTCCATGAGGAGTTTATGGTTGAGTTCAGAATGCAGCTCTGCTTGTGCATCACCTGATGAGTTACCTTGATATCTGATGGTTTGGTGATGGACGTTGTAGATAAAATGTGGCTGTCCTTGTAGAGATATTAACTTCAATACCTTCTGTGGTGTATATGTGAGAACTGTAAACTGTCCCTGTGTTGCCCTTTTGTGAATTTGTTATATCTGACAGTAGCTGGTAGTTGGATGTTTTTTAGAGTAAAATCTCTTGGGGTTTTTGTTGTTTCTTGCTTTATTTTGAAAATACTGTTTCCCCTCTTTGACTTCAAGACTGTGGCGAGTGTCCCAGCCCACTGCTCGGTAGGAGGGGCAGTGAAGGTAACTGGCTCGGTGGTGTTTGGTTTTAAATGTCACCTGATCCCTGTAGTCTTACACCAAGTGATCGACGTTATTGATACCATATAAATATTTGATGGTTCACCGCTGACCAGTTGTGCATCATTGTGGGCCACCTTAGACGTGTGTTTGTGTTTGAGAGATGTGCTTAGTAGCCTGTTGAAAAACTAGATTATGCAGAATAAATTGGGAAGAAGTGAAAGGGCCAGGGGAACCAAATTTACTTTCACAATTACTGAGCCACTGCAGGAAATTTAAGCTTTTGTACTCAGAAGATCACATTCATTTTTTAGTGGTGATTATAAGACCAAACCAAACAGCGTCAAGTGCATTTTCCCCAATGAAACATTATGTACCATTATAATCATTTGAATTTTGGTCAGAAATCGAAAAATATTTAGGAAATAAATATTCTGATACACAGCATCTCAGACTTCACTGCTCTGCTGCTTGAATATCACCATCCACTGTTCTTACTGCTTCTTGTAAAGTGTTGTCCTGGGGATCACCTGCTTCCTGTTACCACATTTGTACTCTGTGTATGACAGTAATGTGGTTTGGTTTCATTTGTGCTGCAAAGGACCAAAAAGCCCAGCTCTTTCTCGGCCCGTTGCTGCTGCAGGTGAGTTCCTCAAACCCTGACGCAGCCTCACTTAGCACTGACGTACCACGGAAGGAAAAAGGATTGTTACTCCATTATTTGTCCCATGAAAGCCTGTCTTTGTGTGGGGTTTCCTTGTACTGCAGGGAGTGATATGGGGTCTAAGATGACCCTGTGTTATGTGTTCATGCTCTGACACAAAATAAGCCTGTCTCAGGTTGGAGGATAAGGTTTGGTTGCATAGCCATGTACGTGTGTGCGTGCGTGTGAGTGTGTGTGCGCGCTGACTTACGTTTGGTGACTGACCAGTGAAGTGTGACACAGAATGAAGACATCTAAGTTGCGTGAGAACAGGTTCAAAGAGGAGCTCAGTAACAGAATAGCAAAGAGGAGTTGTGTGTTTGCAAGATGTGTGGTAGCAGTTGGCTCAAAGAACAAGGACTGCCTCTCTTCCAGACCTCCTGCAGCTTAGGAATGACTTGAGTCATCATTAATAATGAAGTCAGGCAAAGGGAATTTGTCATAGGCTGGGGCCGTGGACTTCACATGTGATTTGGTATTTTCTGGTATTTTTCAGTCTCCAGAATCTCCCAGCGGTCCTGCTTTTCCTCACGGCTCTCCCTGGCACATGATAAATACACAATAGAAGGATTTTTTGTTGCTAATGTTGCTGTTTTTACTCTGTCTTAACTCTTTCAGCTCGAGGAGCAGCTCCTGCACCTGGAGGTGCCCCTAGACCGGTGAGATTACAAATTCAATTGCTCGATACAAAAGGATTGTGACTATTCGTGCCCTGATTTCTACCCAACTTCTAACTTTTGTTTAATTTTTTATTCCCTCTTCCAGAATATCCCTCCTCGAGCCGGGGTGATCAGTATTCCCCCACAGTCTCGCCCACCACATCCTTCTCACCCAGGAGCACCCAGACCTATTCCAGAAATGCATCCCGGGGCCCCTCGACCCATCCCGGACACCCATCCTGGAGCCCCTCGACCTGTGGCCAGTGCCCTGGAGAAACCGACTGACCTGCCTTTGGGTAACATTGAAGATTATCACTACTAGAATGTTAATTCATGTGGTGCAGGGAATTTAAACTTTTGCTCTATTTCCTCTCCCAGGCCCTCCACCCTTAGGACCCCCCCCTGCAGTGAGACCCCAGGCTCCATCACAAATGCAGCCCCATCCTGCCGCGCCCTCAGTTCAGTCTCAGCTCCCACCACCGATCCAGCCCACACTTCCAGCTCCGCTCCAGCCGCAGCAGGCTGCAGCTCCAAAAGCAGGACCCCCTCCTTCTGCTGCTGCCGCCGCCCCTGCTGGGCCTCCGCAGGGTCTAGCCTCTCCCAAACCCCCACCACGTTCCCGCTCCTCTCATGCTCTGCCGCCTGATGCCGCCAAGCCTGAGACTGCCCCAGCTGCACAGGTTAGTGTCAACTTTCTCTTCATTAGAAGAAAAAAAAGTCATATTCCACAGATTCCTGTTCAAATTCTGCTCGTTAGAGAAGATGTGTTATGCTACTTTGTGATAACTGCAGGAGTCGGATTGTGACTGTGCTAGAGCTTCTTTTCTGCCTCATCGTGAGATGAGCGTAGTTGTGTGTCATTCTTCCTGCTTTTGTCTCTCTGATACATTTGTCTCTCTCTCACAAGCCGGAGAAGCCCTCAGGGTGACAGGTACTTGATATTAAACCACCTCTTTTGTCTCATCCTCCATAGCACAACAGTTTCTGCTCTGATGTTAAGACACCCAGTAACCTCCTCCTCCTCCTCCTCTTCCTCCTCTTCCTCCTCTTCCTCCTCCTTCTCCTACTCTCTCATTCTCGTGTTTGAATTTCATTCGTTTTTACATCTCGCACGTTATTTTAACCTGGATGTTTTTAGCGTTGTTTTGTGTTGGGACCAGGAAATGGAGCATTATTTGTTTTTGTTGGTCGACATTTCAAACCATAAATGACACGAAGAAAGAAAACGAAACCGATAAAAATGTGATGTCTGTTGTCGGCCGTGTTTCCCTCACCAGTCCTTTCATATCTGCTCGCTGAAGTTCAAGTGAGCAAATATGCAATGACCTCATGATTTGATTTGACATTTTGTTTAAGTTGTATTATTTCACTCATTTGTATTAGAGTTAGTGTTTGTATGTGCACTGTGATACATAAATCAGTTGTTAGTGAGGTTATCACAACACATGTTTATATTTGTTTTATAGTAGCCAGGTTAAAGGCACCCTGCAGAGTTTTTGATCATTGACATTGTGGATCAATGTTTTAAAGATCAGGTCCTTGTTGTTTATAGTGAAGTCCAGGCTGCTCTGGTGTGTGCACGAGCATGTGGCTGACTCTGTACACTTCACTGCTGACTGCAGAGGAAGATGATGCTGCTGTGATGTGCACACAAGCCATAAAAATAGAGAACACCTAGATCAACAGCTGCACACATCCAATGAGTTGCAAGTTAGACCTGCATGTCCATATGTCCATTGTGATTAAAAAATCAAACTTGCTTCACAGTTTGTCCCCTTGACTTTCTCATATGCCACAGATTGACATTTAACGTCATTAGTTGTGCAGAAATGTGCCATCAAAGAATAGGGGGAGGAATGACCACTCACTGATAAACATGGATATAAACAGGTCAAATTTCTAAATAGTCATATATCTGCTATGAATTGGATGATTTGAGCCTTTCTCAGTTTCTCAAACAAGCTCCACAGGGTATCTTTAATCTTCGAGATAAACAGTATACATTATTAAAAAAGTGAAGTTAGATTAGATTCTCCAATAATATTTTTACAGTCTCTTAATGGTATTTTCTTTTTTTCCTGTCCAGACCAATGGACTGAATGGACTCCAAAACGAAGCACAATGGAAGCCTGACCCCTTCAACACACTCTCCTCGTCCTCCTGGCACACCACCCAGTCCCTGACCAGGGGCTCCTCTCTGCGTGCTCCCCCCTCTGTTCCTCCATCTTCATTTTCCTCCAACACTCTCCCATCATCCTTCTCCCTGCAGCCCTCTGCTCTGTCAGACCTGCAAGCACTCGATTCATCCTCCTCTTCCTCGCTCTCCACCCCATCGCCACTTGCCTCCACCTTGCTCCTGCCTCCTCCGGTCCCGTCTCGCAGTCGCTCGCAGGAAACGTTACGTGCCTCCCCCGGCCCCTTCCCAGCTGAGCCGCTACCTGCCCGACCCAGCAGCACCAATCCCTTCACAGGACCGCTCGCACAGCATCGCTCGCTCACCCCGGACTTCAGCATCCAGCGTCCAGCCCCGACATCAAACCCTCAGAGGACCATGCCTGCTCTCACTCAGCCACTCATTCCCACCCGTGCTCCAACAACTGTTCCTGCAGCTGCCCCTGCCTCCCAGCCCCAGAGGACAATGTCCCTTTTTGCACCTTCATCCATGTTCAATCCTGCACCTGCTCCCCTGGCTCCCTTCACCCTGGACCCATCTCCTGCTCCTGCCTTGCCTCTGGCACCACCTTCCTCCATCCCACCTTCCATTGCACCCCACGGCCAACCTCCTCCACCGGGAGGCAAACCAACCAAGCAGTGGGTCACTTTCGATGATGATTTGGATTTCTCAACTACGACAAAAACACCACCCATCCCCGTCTTCCCTTCCGATTCCCTTCTGCCCCAAACTCAGACTCAGCCTCCTCGGTCTGTGTTCGACTTGGAGCCCGACTGGTTATCAACGGGCCCTTCGGCATTCCCGACCCTCCCTCCTCCTATCCCTACTGCAACTGCTAACCCTAAACTCCCAGAGGCTCCCAGTGACAGCTGCTTCTTCGCCAGGGAGTCGACAGAAAGATAGAATCACCCTTAATATGTAAAGGGCATGTCCAGATATGTATAGATCTATGACAAAATGTGTATATGTTTGTGTGTATGTACAAAAGAGACAGTATTTAAGTAGTACAGACCATTCCCCTTCTAAATGACAGGAAAGGATTTATATCTCGAGCAGTAACATGAGACGCATGTTCTAACGTTACCACAGAGATATTTGCTTGTTCCCTAATATTAACATTTATTTTAATATGAATCGTTCTTATGTTTATTTTTATTCATGGCGGCAGACGTGCCAGTGTCTACAGTATACAGTTAAACAAAGTATATCTATACACACAAATCATTTGTGTAAGCACCTGTGCAATATCAAGACACGTCTCTGGCCATAAAGCACGCCGCTTCCGCCTGCGAGTTTTCACCTGGATCAACGTTGCGTCCGTATTTGCGAACACGCTGCGGTTTATATCCCTCATCTTTGACTGATCTGTGCATCGGAGGAGATGATAATGTAGATGTGCTGCTGTACGCAGCAGCTAGACAGCTTTGACTTACACAGAAATACTTGTAAATTTATGTTTTTTGAGGGGGGCAAGTTATAAGTCATATTGTGTGCTTGCTTTTTTCATGAATGTACTTTATGTTGTACTGGGTTTTGTCATTGCCTCCTCGCTGATGCCACAGCGGAGGCATGACTCAGCAGGACTGACGCTCTGTAATATCTCACCCACCATATAGTAAGACTCATTCTCTCTCTACTCAGTCACCGCTCTACCTATAGGCCGTTACGCTTAGCAGAATATATTTTGTAGCTCTATTTCAAACACCTATACATAGTTGTTATGTATAAATTTATGTTTTCAATATGGAAACTACTCGCTAATCGTGCGTGTGTGTGTTTGTAATAACAGTATCAGTGGTTTGCACAATGTAACTGATATGCACTGATATGCTGTATGTGCACTATGACGACCAAGACAAAGGTGAGAGCCTGAACAGATGAGAGGGCTTTTTTCCTCATTTCCACTTCCTCCTTGATTTATCCAAAGCATCAAACCGTGCTATTGTCGATTCAGAGAACGGGGCTCGTACGTGCGGCTGTTTGTGTGTATGCTTGGTACGAAGATTTGAGTCTGTGAGCGTGGCGTGGGACTCGTCACGCGTAATAATAAGAGGGCACATTTACCAAGCTTTTAATTTCCGAAAAACATTTACTCTAAATACTCTATTGTTGATACTGTGGTGAGAAGTGACGTGTCGTGTTTGAGGTGCATATCGTCCGTTAATGTGTTTGACAGTGTTTATGTTTGGATGTAAGTGTGTGTACAGGGTTAACCGTGGAACACCAGAGCTTTAACCCTCAGAGGTCTCTGCTTGTATAAGAGCACTGTGTATTTGCTTACAGGTTGAGAACTAACAGCCACTGTATTAACTCACTCGTGGCTGTAATTGTATTCCTGCTCTCCAGTCTGCTGACAATAAGCACCGCTGTATGCGAACTAGCAAACAATACACAGAGGACTTTACTCCCCTGTCAGAGCACCCGCCACCTGAGTGAGAATTCCAGCACTGATGGAAGACCATAAGTTCACTGCGAATACAGTCTCTTGAAAACTACACTGTACGCTTAGACCCTGAATGCATCGCCAGGGAACATTTTCCAGTCGGATGTTTGTTGTGGTGCTCCCTGGTCGCCGTGCGGCACACATTCCAGACGGGAGTGTGATTCGAGTGTTGGGTGTCAAATTCCTCCACATGTGATATCCAACCGATAGCTGTTCCCTCTGGTTTGAGAGCCTCACCGATTCCTTAACCATTCTTAAGGTGTGCGTGCGTGTGTGTGTGGTGTTGTCAGAGGTGACGTGTCAGTGATTCTTTGTTCACCTACTTCACTCGGTTGACAACGATGACAAGCAATAGTTTAAAAAAAAGGGATCAGTGAGAGAACAGTCCTCCCTCACGTGACACATCAGCTGATGAAGACATATCAGATGTGTTTTCTCTTCTCAAATCTTCAGAAGTTATGTCATGAAAAGCATTTCAATGGTTCACTGAGGATAAATCATGCAAAGCAAGAAAGAACCAGCTGAATACTGCTTATCGCGCTCTGTCTAAACACATGAATATGAGTAGAAACTATATCTGCATTAACAGTAGATGACTAGCCAGTGCTTTTGTGTCATGTCATGTTCCGAGAGGAAATTTTATAGGAAACAATTTGCTCCTTTTTGTGAGGTCGGTGTCCCTTTTTATGGCTATAACCCCATAGTATATACGAGTCTGTGTTGTTCTTCATATTCTGTGCGTATTAAAGACAAAACATGACGCTGCGACTCATGTCAGTATCCCGACGTTCCATATTTTAAGTGCACAGCTGATTGCACATTTATGTATGAAGCCGTTTATGTTGTATGTATGCAAAAATAAATGTATGTTGACCTGAGTGTTTTGTTTTGATTGCAGACGCATTACTGCACAACATAAATATGAATATTAAACACAACTGATCATGTACGATTTAAAATTCACTTGAACAAACATTTGATCTTCGTCGTGCACTTTAATTTAAATTTAGATTCAAGACAAGTGGAGGATTTACAGAGGTGTGTACTCTACTGTCATTCTAGTTGTTGATTTTGTCCTTTTTATGTTTTTGTTGAAAGTAAGAAAAATTGATAATTTAACTTTATATTTGTTCCCAGTAAATTTCATATTAATTTCACCAACTTTAATCTTAAAACCAGTTGTTCTCACGACACAGATATTATATCAGGACCCTGGTGGTTGTCGTGACCCCAGGTTGAGAATAAAACAGAATAAGTTTCACCCTGTTGACCACAGTCAAAGATAAAAAAGACACTTTTCATACTTCACCTCATCACTGGATTATTTTTTACGTATTTATTATTATTGAAGACGTCACCTCCCATCAAGTTTAAATGAGATGTTGTACCGCCCTCCACCATGAGGGGGCGGTAACGCTGCGTGGATTGATGAACCGTGCCGTAGAAAGACACCAAGAAGAAGACTCGTCCCGTCTGCAGCTCGCGCTCACGTCTCCGGTTGTAAACAAAGCGTGAGGCCGGTTTGAAGCTCCGCGTCGTCTCTGTCTGTTTCCCCGCACAGGTTTGTTTTTGACCATGTTTTAATCACGACAGAGACAAAGATCGTTTAAAACAAACTAGTTAAAGTGAACATGTATGCAGCTAGCTGTAGCTGAAGCGCCAAAGAGCTAACAGCGGCTCTTTCTGGAAGCGTCGAACCACGTTGCCATGGTTACAGCACGCAGTTTCCATCCGGAGGAGCCGCCGCGTGTTTTCTGGTGAACTCAGGATTTTGTGTTCGCTTCTTTCTGCAGCCGATCAGAGGAACATGGTGCAGCTGCACGTGAAGCGAGCGGAGGACAGTCAGTTCCTCTACAGCTGCACGGTGGACGAGCAGCTGGACACTGTGATCCGGCACATCACCGCCATTTACAACGGGAGACTGAAGGTGGAGAGGATATGTTCAGGTGACGTTCACACACACACACACACACACACACACACACACACACACACACACACACAGACACACACACACAGAACCCTTAACCCTCAAACAGCCCATTGCAAAAGTGAGGGGTCAATGCTTAACATGTACAGGACACACACACACACTTGAAGCTACAGGAGGCTACACTCTCTCTACAGGTTTACCTGCAGTGGCCGAGAGAGATCAACACACTGCATATTGTGAAAACAACACTGAGAATGTTTCCAGGGGAGACGATTGATGAACCTGTCTGTAGTTTGGTGCTTTGTGAAGTTCCAGAACCACTGACGAGTAACCGTTTGCAGCGTGTGTCTGTGTTTGCACCACACATCTAGTGGTGGACACCCTTCACCTCCCCCTCCCCTTCCAAACATGACAGAGAACCTGTGTGAACCACCAGTTCAAACTCAAAAGGTGTTAAGTTTGTCCAGTCTGGGCTTCTGTCAAAACAAAACATGATGGCCTCCGTAGAGAGGAACCACTCCTGATGTAAATATAAAGTATTTCAATATAAAGGGCTCATTCTAGAGTACAATGAACAAGCATTGGTACAATTTAGATGAAACACACTAGTGAAAACATCACTAGGATTATTTTATGTTCACTTTCTGCCTGTAGATTCCTTTCACCTAAATCTGACACACTGAACCTTTAACCATGTGATCGACTAAATAACAATATTTACACCATTGCTGAGAGAAGACAGTGTCTGACGTAAATGCAGAGGTGAATCAGTGTTTAAAGCATTTATCCAAATATCAAATGTCTCTTCTTGTTTTGTTCCCTCAGAGATACCGGAGCTGGCAGACCATGGCGTCACACTGCCGCCCAACATGCAGGGGCTGACAGAGGAGCAGATCGTGGAGCTGAAACTGATAGACGAGTGGGAGGAGAAGTGCGTGCCCAGCGGAGGACCAGTGCTCAGGAGGGATGAGATTGGAAGAAGGAACGGACATGGTGAGAGTCGGACTTGTGATCGAAGCAGTTTCTAGGTTATTTTCTTTTCTAACGTGTTAACTGCAATTGTTTAAAAGTATTGTGAGTATGTGATACATGCCATCACATGTGGATATACTGCTGTAGATGGTTTTGTGAATAAGTTAATTGAAAATTGAAAAAGAAAAAAGTTGGTTCTCTCTTTGCCCTCTACAGCTCCAAATGATAAAATGAAGGAGGTGTTGATGAGAACAATGGAGGAGGCGAAAGCTCTGATCTCCAAAGTGAGTATGAGAGTTAACACTAAATCTTAATCATCATCTCATTACTTTACTGACAGAGTGTAAGATTTGTGCATCTATCTCGTGATCCTTCAGAAACAAGCTCAGGCTAACGTCTGTGTCACCATGGAAATGGTAAAAGAAGCGCTGGATCAGCTCAGAGGCGCCGTCATGATTGTGTACCCCATGGGGCTGCCTCCTCACGACCCCATCAGGATGGAGCTTGAGGAGCGGGAAGACCTTTCAGGAACGCAGGTTAAACAGCTGATCCAGTCGTCAAAGTTTCTTATTGTGGGAAATAGCAACATTAAATTAATTTACCTCATTTACTAAAAGAAAAAACAATGAAATACATGAAGCTATGCGAACCGTCTCTTTTATTATTGCTTTCTTCCTTCATTCGTCTTCATCTGCCGTCTCCATCTGTCTCCTCGCCTCAGGCGTCTCTGCAGGTGATCACAGAGAACGAGTGCCAGCTCTGGTGGGCGGCCAAAGAGATGCAAAGGGGGAAGAAACTGCAGGACTACATCGGCAAAAATGAAAAGACGAAGCTTGTGGTGAAAATCCAAAAGGTAAGAGCAGCTTTGAGAACGTATATATGTTTACATGACAGTCAGTCTATTTGTTGTGTCATGAGGTTGTTTCCCTTCAGAAAGGACAGGGGGCGCCAGCGAGGGAGCCTCTGGTCACTGAGGAGCAGCAGAAACAGATGATGATGCACTGCTACAGACGGCAAGAGGAGCTCAAGGTGAGGAAAAGCACAAACCACCACATTCCTGGTTTTACTCACTCTACGTGTCTGACCATCTCCTGGTGACATTTTCAGAAACTGGAGGAGGCGGATGACGACAGCTGCCTGGATTCAGACTGGTCGGACAGACAGGCTCTGAAAAAACAGTTTCAAGGCCTCACCAACATCAAATGGGGGCCGAGGTGAAGAGCCTCCAGTGGTCGTGGTCAGTTACAGCATCATATGCAACGAGATGCCTTTTCTCAGTCGAGACGTTTGTTCACTGTTTGAGATCGTCCACAAGATATTTTATACATCAGATGTTTTTATATGTTCAGTTCAGAAATATGCTTGTCTTGTTATTTTTAACCAAACTGAAAGGAGAAGAAGAAATCTAGACACAAAGTGCAACAAAACTTTCAATATAAGTCTGATTTATTAACTTCAGTCTTCCTGCTGTGTTCCTTCTGATTATCATAACCCTGTAAATCTGTAAACAAAATAAAAGTTCATTTTTATTGTGTTAAAAAAAATGTTCCAATGTAGCGTGTGAATACACAATGTTCTTACATTCTGTATTAATAATGTGCTTAGTGTTTCACAAAGGCTCGGAAAAGTTCATCCCTTGTGCAGCAGCAAGGATGCAACACCTTTCCTCTCTTTGTCTCCTCTCACTGACACACAATCGTAAACCTCTTAAAGTCCTCGCTGTTGTGAGGCAGGAAGTGGCCACACAGTGGTTGGTCGTTCCAGTTCTTGTCCCAGCGGGGGTGAGGAAGTGGTCGAGCTCGAAAGCGAGAGTGTTTCATTCACCGGAGGGTCGGACTCGGGGGAGATGTTGACGCAGCTGATTCAGAGATGTGAGGATTTAAAGGGTGATTCCGCCTCTTGTGTGTTTGATTTGAATGGCTCGTTAAGAACCCTTTCAGACAGAGAATCCCACCCTCAGGGGAAATGGTCTCTGTTATGAACATTTTTCCTGCAGTTCAGATAGATGACATGAAACTGCAAATGTGGGATTTTAAAATAGGCATTGATTTCCTCTCCTTTGTTTAAAGCATCACTGTGTAACTTTCACTGAGCAACAGCGCCCTCTGCAGCCACACCTGGTGATTACCTCTGTTGGGCTCCGTGTCCCAGCGATTAAGTGGTTTTCATGTGTGTCGTCCTGCTCTCTGAACTGAAACACAACTGAGCAGTGGATATTACCCATGATCCCCGGCTTCCTGAACCAGTACACCTGACGCTTTCACTAATCCGCCACCTCAGTTTAGAATTCTTCTTATTTTAAGTTTCCTGACTAACTCATCGAGATGGACGCTGGTTTTTAATGACTTCTAACCCTCATTAACTTTAATCACCTTCTCTGAGGAGGCCTCTCCTGCTGAAGCCTGATGGGAGGAGTTTGGGCATCAGGTAGATTCACCTCACCTGTGGTCAGACAGTCTCCCTCTGCCCCACAACTTTCACACTTAAACCGAACTTACTTTAAGTTCAAACTCAACTTTACCTTGCTGGACCTGATTCTGACAAGTGAAGCGGCAACTCTCAGTCACTTCCACTCACAAGAGACCGACGTTCAGGGTGAAGAGTGTGAATCACCGAGGAAACATTCTCCATATTCCAGGTCAGTGAACCAACAAACTCGTTCTGAAGCTGCTGTTTTAAGGCAGAACAGTCACATAGTTTTGTTTTAAATCCAGAACCTGTGTTTCATGGTTTCATTTAGACAAAGTAGAGGAAACATGTTCCTCGGTTTGACTGATGAAGCTGCTGTGACGCCTCGATGATGAATCAGAACAGTAACATTCATGAATGAACGACGCCACTGTGTCAGCAACTGAATTTAAACCTGAAATATTTACTTCAATCGGTGCTGAATGTAAATAAAAACTATATTTTATATTCATAATTACAGACTTTTTATGTGATCACATATTACAGCATAAAAAAGGCTATTTCTGCATTTTCCATTTTCCATTACATTCTTCATAAACATCAATACACGACACATAAACATACAATGTAAACGAAAGTCTCTTAAAGTTTCTTGTTTTGTTGACGGTAAAACGCTCGGGGTTTTTTAACACGAGCTGCCGTTCAGGTAGGCGTTCATCCAAATCTCCTGTATGACCATATCTCTGCGCTCGATCCTCTCCGCTCGATCGGCCGCCTCGCTCTCATAAGTCACTTCCTCCCAGTCACATGCTGCCTTCCTCTCTGTGGCTGAGATTACAGAACTTTCAGTTCCTTCATCATCATCATCATCATCTTCGTCTTCATCTTCCTCCTCCTGGTGTTTGACAGTCTGGCTACAAGACCTGGTTTGGAGTCCGTGATCTCTGAGCCGGCGCCCTCTGCAGGTCACGCGGACTGATACAGCCAGCAGCGTGAAGAGGAGGCCAACGCACACGCTGGAGGTGAAGAGCAGCGCCGCCATTTCTGGATGTGCTGCGTAGAAGACAAAGAGAGGAGGTGTGAGAAAACATTGATTAGACTGTAGATGAACAAGTATGACATGACTGTGAAACCAAAGCATATCGATCGCCCCCTGGTGGCTGGCTACAGTATATGTAGGGATATATGGACCAAAACGGATAAATACATTTTCAGCATAAGATGGCAGCGTTCGCCTGCAGGATATTTTGGCTTCAATTCTGGTTTGTGTGAAGAGGTGGAGATGTGTGTATGTACAGTCTATGGTGTGCGCCTGCATGTAGATAATATTCACCTCTGATGTAGGCGTAGGTCAGGAGAGAGGTGCTCATCACTGCTCCAGAGTTGCCTGGTCTTCTCGACCCTTTGGCCAAAACCTCTTCCAGATCTACAGGAGAAGCTGTTGTGAAAATGTAAATTATGACGTGAAGAAAAGGCGGCGAAAGCCTGGAAGTGCAACAGATCACATGATGCTGTTACCTTTTTCTGGCTCCACAGGCGGAGACGGGGTGGAGCTGAACACACCGGGGTCTGCCTCCCTTAGTAAAGACTGTGGGACTGGGAAACAAGACAGAACAGCCTTTTTATTTCTGCGGACTCAGTGGATCTACAGTGGACCACTCATTACAACACGTCCCTCGTGCAAACCTCTGAAAAAAACTCAGCCCACAATAGAAGTACATTCTCAAATCGTGGAAACGTTCCGTGCAGTTGTGTTGATCACGGCCCACAGGGTTAACGCATTGTTCCACACTCGATGGAGACAACAGAGCCAGGCAGGAGAAATAAAATCACCACCGAGCTCAAGTCACAACTTCAATCTATGATTGGATGACCTCACTGGCGTTTGTGCCAAATCACCGGAAGTTTACCAGGATGTCAGGCTCAACCCGAATCTGAGCGCACAGTCTATTATTCCCTGTGTTATTCAGTACGATGCGATAAGAAACGCTGATGGCTGAGATCAGCAGATAAGAATTCAAAGTGGGAAACTGTAAACGTTCACTGCTGGAGCCGTCAGATAATGAGTGAGGCAAAAAAAACGACTCAGGACGTGTTCCTATTTGAAAGCTCTAGCACATGTATCACAGGGGCTTATAAGTGTGGTCTGTGAATGAGGAAGCACAGAGAGTCCTACCACAAGAATAGATCACACTGAGGTACTTCCTGGTTCCTGGAAAGCAGGGGTCCCTGAAGGTCTGGTTGCTGACGGCAACAGCACACTTCTGTTTGCTGTGGCAGGACTTGGACACCGAGTGCACGGCCTTGTGGTTGAGACATTCTGAGAGACACAAAGAGAGACGAAACTTAGAGGCAGCAAAAAGAGATTCAGAAATCTGCCGTAGACCTCATCATGGACACGTGACAGTAGAAAAACATATGTCATTTATACCATATGATGACAAATGATTGTCAGCTGCAGACTGTGTCGCTTGGTTGCAAAAGTGAATGCATCACTATATGAGACAGTTTTCTGACTTCATAGTGTTGACATCATTCCTACCATATGATCATAAGTTGTTTTTTCATCTACATAAGCTTTAGGTCGTGTCTTTACACCTGGGGAAACAAATACAGTGCAGTAAATCTTAATGAGAATGATTTCGAACACTTATTTCAGAGCAGATATTTTCATATAACTTTTACTTTGTTCGCCATCAGTGATTTTACTTTGAGAAGTTATTTTGCTTAGGACGTTAGCATATTGTGTGTTGCCACTTTCAAAATGAACATGTTATTATTTATTTAAGTGTTGATCTGAGCCAAAAGGCAGAGAAGATTTAAACTTAATGCAAATAACCAATAAAACCTGATGTCTCCTGGGTTTTAAGATTCTATATTCCTTCATGTCTCTCAGTCTCCACCGCATGAGAAGACTGAATATCTCGTTGACTCACCAAAAGGGGGTGGTCTCGTCAGGTGTGAGGGGCAGGTGTCAGTGTGACCCAGACTTCTGCCATAGACAGCTGCATAGATGATCAGCAGCCTGGGGGGCTTACAGCTCAGGACCATGGTGTCTCCCTCACAGGCCACATGTCTTCTGTGTTCAGCTGAGCGAGGGGGAAATAGTGATGATGAGGAGGTGGTGACAGCAGGAAACTCAGAGGTTAGGGACCACCAGCGAATGTGTGAGAGCAACTGAGGCAGAAACAAATCAAGTGGGACGAGACGTGACAGTGAAAGCTGTTGTGAACAGGGAGGAGCACGTGGGAAGCTGCTGAACTCACTGGGTTTACACCTGTAGTCCACGTGGAGGTATTTGGAAGTCCCGGGACAAGGGTCCTTCCCAAACAGCAGGTGATTGACGGGGAGCTGGCAGTCTCTGTGGCTCTGACACTCCGACAGCAGTTTCTGCAAAGCAAACACCAGGGTCGGCAAGAATTTAGCAGTCAAATGAATTCACAGAAAATTTAAATTGAGACACAAACCAGCTGACAGATTAGTGTCGGATTTACCTTCATCTAATAATTTAGTGTTTTAGTAGTAATTCACTGGGACCCTGTGAGAATAAAAAGTGTATTCCACTCATGAAAACTCACCTGTAGAGCGGTGAATGCAGAGCAGCTGTGGTTGCGGGCCCCGAGTGGAGGGTCGGGGTCCTCCCTGCACGCCCACACCTCCCCGCTCCCGTAGAAGGCCGACTGGATGGAGATGGTGGAGTGACGAGGACAGTGGAGACGCAGGGGCTGACCGTCACACGCGTGGGCAGAGTGACTGGTGATGATTCTGGACAGGTAGTCTGCGGGACAGAGGGGACACGGTCAGGCTGGAATATACATGCAGATACAGTGTACAGGTGAAGTAAAGGGACAATCCGCTGATCTTTGCATGTGAGGTTTGGTTTAGCTGTTTAGTTTTTCCATCAGTGAGTTGAAAATATACAGCTACTGTGAGTTTGAGGTACTTTTGAGGTACTCTCCCAGTAAATGTAAATCTATTAATTTACAAAGGAAGATTTTCAGACTCATTGTATTGTCTTTTATTCACACTTACAGCTTTTCTCTTATCGTTTGTTAGATTGTGTGATTCCTGCTCAGTGCAACTTTAACCAAACTACAATGGCACTTTACCAAGTCCCAACAGTCCCATTTAAATTCAATCCAGCTTCACCAATTTCTTTAGAAATCAATCTATCATCAAGCTCTTCCCTGGGAAATTGGTGAAAATGTAAATTGAATAAAGCCCAATCCTAAAGTCTCATCCTGATTTATTTGAGTCATGTTCCTACCTTTACCTTTACAAAACAACTACTGCAGTGTTGCACACTTTGTCTTTTATTTTGTCACCTCTTGTATTATGTGCAAAGCCCTTGACGTGCTGCAGTAACACAATCATTTCCCAATTTGGGATCAATCACTCAATCCATCATCTCCTTACTTGAGAAGTCAGCCAGTCCACTCAGGCGTCGGGTCCACAGGAGCAGAGTCAGGTAGCAGAGGCAGTGGCTCAGGTCCAGTCCGGGACAAGGACGCGTCCAGCTCATGACTCTCATCCCCTGAGTCCCGGGTCATATTAGAGAGACTCCTCAGCTCAGTGCGGACCCACGGGAGGACTTCACACGGGCCCACGCTCGCCTCTCATGCGAGCTGGAACCTGGGTTCTCCTCTCAGAGAGTCTCAGTCCGGAGGAGGACACGGAGAAAAGCAGCTGCGCAACAAGTCGCTCTGGACTGAGGTGGTTTCTCCCGGAGTGGATTTTGTGAATGGACGCGTGTGGACAGTAACAGCTGAGTGTGTGTTACAGGGTGGGCGTGGCACATACACAACTATTTTAGATCTGAGAGGAGGGGGGGGACTCAGAGGAATGACGCACACCTCCCTCCCTCCCTCCCTCCTCCACCATGAGGCACATGTTTACCTTTTGGATTTCTCCTCCTCCTCCTCCTTCTTTCCTGCTCCTTTAAAAACCTCCCTCGTGTAAAGTGAAAACTAGGATTTAGTTGTTGTTTTGATGCTGTAACATCTTAATTTATATTTTATTCAGCCATCTTGAGTTTATTATCATTATTATTAGAGCAGATGATTAACCTCAGAAATAGGAAATCACTGGGGGCTCATGGGCCACACAGAAAGTCAGATGGTTTGGCCTCCACCAGAATCTATAGGACTTTTCTCTCCTCTCTCCCTGCATATAAATGTCATTTATTTCATTTGAACCATTGTAAATAAGTTTTTTTAAGGATTGCTGTGTGATGTTTTTCTTTATTTGATTGAGTTATAGGCTCTCGTCGTATTTGTCAAATTGTGTCATGCCAGTTCAATGCTGTGGTCGTTAGTGCTTCTTTAAATAAAGGACAAAAGATTTCAGTGGGTGATATTTGGATTCTGTTTCTTTTCATAAAGTGTCGATGTCTCAACCGTGGTGTCTTTGAATGAAGCAGGGGGCCTACTGGGTAAGTTGCTTCCCCAGGCTCACATCCATGACCCACTCCATGGTAACCGCTCAATCTCAATGTCAGACCGACAACAGTCAAGCTGACAGAGACGTTGGGGTCTCCACGCTCGGCTTCACAGGGAGGAGCAGGCTGGGGGAAAGAACTGAGAGGTGATATTTTGCATACAAACTGGGCAACAGTTTTTAGCCGCCCCCTCCAAAGTTGGTTCAATTTGCTGTGCTTTAGCTTCAGGCACCTAGGGAGTGGCTCCAAACCCCTTTTTTCTGCTGTTATCCCTCCAAAGCCCGAGGAATTTTGTTGTCAAACTCAAAAAGCTTCCTGGATTTTGTTTTGCAGACGTGGTTCAACCATATAGGTCAAACAGGAAGGTAAAAAAAAAAAAAAAATGCATGTGAGTAAATGTGCAATGTTTCGAGCTATGGTGGAAAAAGACGTTCCTAAGAATACACTTTTATTAAAATACTTGTGTAAACTTGTGAAAATAACCAGGATATCCTTCATAATCAGGCAGGAATGACATGATAGTTTCATATGTAGAATACTGCTGCAAGTGCTAATTTACAAAATATATATATACATTTATATATATATACTTATATATATGCATATTGCTGAGGTTTATTGTCTGTGTGTATTTCTACCATAAAGGGTACACGTTATTCCTATTTTTCATTACTTCTAATACAATGAAGCTGTTGAAATAACGCCACCTCTCTGTGCGTTGGGCCAGAAAGATTCTAAAACTATCGCTGATAAACTTCTTTGGGGACACAGCCCCTCGATCGCACGACCAGAAAATGAAAGACAAAACACTTGATTAGCATTAATGATGTTTTGAAACAAACAGGAAGAGTCGATAAAGAGAAAACTAAAGGAAAGAAAGATTGTGATTCATGCAACGAAAGACCCTCAGAGGACATTACCATCTCATGCTTCAGAGGATCTTTACAGGGAGACAGAAGTCAGCTGCTGCATCACATGACAAACGATCACCAGGACATGGCAGCGATACACTTTATTGTTATTATTTTATCATGGACAGAAAAGCTCCAGCTCAAAACAGATTTTAAATTACGAAAGCATCTTTACTTGAAATCCACATTCATCTCGAGCTGGGAATCAACAGCAGCCTGAAATTCAGGAAGCAAAACAAGATCAAAATAAAAAAATAAGCAACAACATCTCAGTCATTATTGTGCAAACTAAGCTGTTCAGACACTCACCAATTCTCTTTTTGCTTCTTCTATTTTCACTTGAGCAAGAGACGGGTTCTGTGGTGGTTAAGAGGGGAAATAATTTAGTAAAATCAAGCACAGCAACACAAACATCTGAAGACTGGTTCGATTATCAAGTTGGTTTAATACAGTTAAATTAAGCACATATTTCTCACAGGTTAGGTTAGAATCATGTCAAAGCAATTTGGATTGTTTGGTCTTTCAACCTTTTACAGGACAAACTGAAAAACAACATACTGGGCTGAGATCCATGTACGGCTCCAGTTTCTTTTTCAAGGGGATAATTTCTTGTTTCAGAGCCGTGACTTCCTGCAGAGAGAGAAAAATAAGATGACCCACTTTTAAATCCCTGAAAGCGGACGATGTTACGACTTCATTTCTATGGCAATGTGCGGAGTTATGGATACCTCAGAGAGTGTGACGACAGCCTGGTGGGTGATGGACTTGTCCATGTTCCTCGACGTGAGTTGAGCCTGGATTAAAACAAACAGTGAAAACCTGGTCCATACTGACACTGATACAGAGGTGTTGGCATCATCTCTGTTGTTTAACCAAAGGCAGTAACAGAATACATCAAATATTATATCAAAATACAGTCTGTCATTCTAGACAAAATAAAACCGGTAACTCCAGATAAAAGTACAGTTGCCTGCAGTTTCTGCCCCTCTGGAAACATTGAAAACTTTTTTCTTCAGCCAAATTAATGACTCATCACACTTTGGTGCTGCACCATCATGGATGTAAAGGGAATTTTGCATGCTGATGAAACATAGAGCTGGAAAAGAGCCATAAAATTATATGAGAACTGTTTCTCTGCGAGCGATATCAAGACAGATATGGTCAGTTCTTCAGTCGACCCCAAAAGTTTAAACTTCATCAGCCCTCAGTTAGGATCTCAGATTCTTATGTGACCAAATCAGCATGAAAATGTTCATTTTAAAATCTGTGATGGTGAAAAACAAAAGTGTGAAGAAAAGGTCATCTATTACAGATATGACGACACAACACACCTCTGCCCTCTCCCGTCTGTTGTTGAGCTCTTTAGCCTTTGCCGTCACAAAATCCATGTTGAGTAGTCTCTCTTCTGCTTTAGCGCTCTCCACTGCCTGAGCTTTCACAGTTTTGTTGATATCCCTGAGGATGATTGAGAAATTGAGTACACGTGAAGAACAGCCTGACTGTGTATTTGTTTTTCTATAACAATGGGAAAAGAACAGCTTGCAACATCCACATTCTTACTCTTGTAAAGTGCTCCGCAGCACCAGAGTGGCTCCGAGTCTCTTCCTGAGGGCTTTGAGTTCCCTCTCGAGTCGTCTGTTGGACTTCTCTGCCTCCAGCAGCTCGTTGGTGAGGTTGTTCACTGCCGGCATGAAGCTACACAAGGAACAAAGATCTTCTTTGAAGTCTTTTAAGGTTAAATTTCCGTGTCCTTCTGTGAGAACACAGACTTCAACGCTGCAACTATAACATACCTGTCCAATGACGTGTCCCTCACTCCAAGCACCATAGCATTGTCCACTAAAGCGGACAGGTAGTCTGCAGCTGGCTTTGACAAGCTTGCACTGGACAGGCCGACACCTTGGAGAAGAACGTCCTGGAGATGTGAACCTGGATGCAGGAAAAACTGTTTAACTGTGAAAGTGCTGTGAAAACTTTGTGGTGTGAGTGAATGGACAATAGTGTTGTCTTACACCTGAATAAAGTGCCAGTGAAGCGTGTAAAGACACTTTGTCTATTGGTCATTGATCCTGTCAGTATTACTGAAGTTTTACTGACCTCATGTTTAACTCAAGTGTCAGTGACACGTGTTTAACTCGGTTGTGTGTCACTAACATGTATTAAACCATCAACTGTGTGTCAGTGACATGTATTAAACCTCACACATGTGTCAGTGACATGTTTTTAAACCATCAACTGTGTGTCAGTGACATGTGTTAAACCTCACATGTGTCAGTGACCCACCATCAGCCTGGTACTCGCATGTCTTCTGCTTCATGTCCTCTATGAGCAGAGCCGTGTCGCTGCACCGGGCCTCGCTGCAGCGGCTCAGCTGGAACAACACGTCCACGGTCCTGGTGTTCACCTCGAACTGAGGCACCGGCTGGTCCCCGAACACCGAGCCGAGCCAGCTGTTCACCTGAGGGGGAGACGGAGGATAAACAACAAGGCAACCACCGCAGCCATGTGACTTGTATGTTAGCGACACAGTGAACGTTACCGCCTCGATCTTCTCACACATGGCGAATGAAAAGGTGACGAGAGGAGAGTTATTAAAGTTCCTGCAGCTCCAACAACAACTAGTGTTTTGCTCTTTGGTTTCGCGCCCCTGGAATTAAGAATTACTTCCGCGTTTCCAACCAATGAAAAACGTCCAAAGCTGCTATGTTTCTTCTTCTTCTTTGGCAAACAACGTTATTTCTGTCGGCTTTTCACAAAAACAGCGATTTAGATTTTTATATATAAAAAAAAAAACATGCGACAAACTCAGTGAAGACAAGAAAAACACATTTCACTGTGTTGACAAAGTGCATCCGGGTCACGTTTCAAAGGGGAAACTGGGCTCAAGATAGTTCACGGTACTTCCGGCTACCACTTTGCTTGAATGAAACAATATGAACAAAACAAAACGTGATTCTGGCAAACCTCTGAGAAAAGAGTTCATAATTATTTATTTATTTAATTGAATTATATAATCATATAGTTAAATCATCATTATTATTTATACTATTGTGGTTTAAATATTCTTATTTCGTTCAATCTAGTAAAATTATACAAAACTAGCTGTCATACTATCTATCAATCTGCCTATTTATCTATCTATCTGTCTATTTATCTATCTATCTATCTATCTATCTGTCTATTTATCTATCTATCTATTTATCTGTCTATCTATCTATCGCGGGGGGAGACGAAAGCGGAAGTACACAGAGGTGACTTCTCCCCGTTGACTACTTCGCGCCAAAGTTTGAAACGTTGTTCGGAGGAAGAACCTGAAGAAAAATGGCGGAGAGAGAAAAGTTGTCCAAATCCAAACACCGACAGAAGAAGGTGAACAACGACACCTTCCTGTCGTCCAGCTCTGACCCCCCGGGCTCGGCCAACAAACCCCGCCAGAGGATCGGGAACAAAACGCTGGAGACGTCCAGCATCAACTCCAGTGTTGTGGAGGAGAAGCTGTTCGGGCAGAGCCGGGAGGAAGAGGAGGCTGAGGACGGACCTGTGCTCTTCATCTGCGGGAAGTGCAAGTCACCTGTGGGGGATTCTCTGTCCTGGGATGGAAGTGAGGACGGACACAACCAGATCAGACTGAAGAGTGAGTGTCTCGGACCTGGTTTTCATTAGATGACATCAGGTTAATTAGTCCCACTGTGGGGAAATGTCCGACATTACAGCAGCGAGAGTCAGAAATAATAAACACTTAAAGGTTCAGTGAGATTTACAAGTTGAAAATAAAATAATCCTCGTGATGTTTTCACTGTTTCATCTAAATAGTAAAACTTGTTGTTTTCTTTATTCTGGTAGAGCCCTTTATATTGAAATACTTTATATTTACATCAGGAGCGGGTCCTCTCTGTGGAGGCCGCCATGTTGTTGTTTTTTGTACAGTAGCCCAGACTGGACAAACTAAACACTTTTTGAGTTTCTATGACAACGGGAAGCTGCCACTGGTTCTCTTTCATGTTTGGAAGAGGAGGGTGAGGTGAGGGGTGTTCAGCTGCAACATGCAACTTCACCACTAGATGTCACTAAATTCTGCACACTGAACCTTTAAGTGTAAAAGCGAGGATTCGGCTATAACCACACAAACACACAGCTACACCCCCTAGTGGCATGGCGGTGAATTGCAGAGCAACGCGTTCCCTTGACGCAGAACTTTGCTCAACGACTGCGTCACCTACGCCGTCGACGTGACACAGAAGCATAAACTAGGCTTAAGGATACATATGTTCAAATACTTAAGAAAAGAAGAAAACATTCATAACAACAGTAAAACACACGGTCATGATTAACATTTATTTTATTGACCTCTGTACATTATTTCATCAGACACCCAGAAACCAACCACTGATCTTATTAATCAGCCAATTAGTTGATTTACAGAAAATAGCCATAACAATTTTTATTGAATTATTAATTATTTTTCTAAGCAAATAAGTTTTATATGACGATAAGTCAGTGTTTTGTGCTTTTGACCGAAGAAGAAGATGTTCACTGGATTAAGGGAATAATTCAAATCCAAAAAATGATATTTTAATGGTTTTGTTGAGCGTTTCACGCAGAAAATATCTCAGTTATATCAATCAATCAATCAAATTTTAAAAAATAACTATTAACGAGGATTATATATTATTGTTATATGAAATAATTATACATTATTTTAATAATTCAGTTAATTATTAGCTGCAGTGTTGTAGTTCTCATGTGAATTAATCCGAACATGCTCATGCTTTGGTGCTGATGTTTGCAATGTTTTGATTTCAGGGGTCACTGACAACGTCTTGGTTGGAGAGGACAGTCGACTGCATGAAGCAGGCAAAGACTCTCTCTGGTAAGTCTCAGTCGTCTCATCACCTGGTGTTCAGATTACCACGGAGACAGTCCCTGCCAGCCATTCTAACAGTGGCCATGTAAATTCAGCTGGGCGTACTTCCACTCAGCCGTCCATTATCAATACTGATTATCCTTTGAGGGTCTGGGTATATTTAACATTAGTTTTACCATAGAGGAGGTTGATGGATAACAAAATTGTTAAATGTTTTGTGTTTTGGAATTCATTGATAAGTCTTCTAGTGTTTTGTTCTGTGTGTGAGTACTTTTTGGGCTAAGCTTTGATTGATTTATTTTTTCTCCTATAGTCTGATCATGGATCTCTTCTGTCGCGCCTGTCACTCTGTGCTGGGCATGGTTTACACGTCCACGCCTAAGAAGCTGGACCACAAGAGATTTGCATTCTGTTTCAACGTTGCAGACATCGACAGGTATGTTCACCGTCAGACAGTTTTTCCTTCTTAAAAGTATTTTTTCCGTATGATCAGGTTTTTGGTCTCTGTGTCTCACAAAGTCTTTGCCATGTGAGGACATTTTGATTTTTAATTAGAGCCCGACTGATTGGCCGCTATGATTATTTCAGTGACATATCTGGTTCAGCCCTAATGTTTGCCGATGTGCACCAATATTAAAACTTGACATGTCATAAGGGTTTGATAACGAAGTCTTAGGAATCATTTTTAGATATTGGCCAATGTAAAGAAATCAGAAACTTTATACTCTGCCCCCAAAATATTAATTTTGGTCGCACTCTGCAAAATGTCCTATGAACAGTAAATTCATTTACCACGAAACACAGGGATGATGTGTTTAAAGGCACAAGCAATTAAAAGTTAAACAAAGAGAAAATTGAAAATAAAATGTGAGACATGTTGTGACTCATGCTCCAAGATTAAAACAGAATGTGTACATCTTACCTCTTATTGTTTTATGTATTTTATTAAATTTCATTTGTAGGATTTGAATGATGTGTATCTTTATTCCTGTGTCTGTGTTTAGCACTCTGTCATTATACCACTGTAAATCTTCTCCAGCTATGTGCTCGGATCTGCAAGCCAGATGTTGGCAGCAGAGGGCCCCAAAGAGCAGCTGGTCACGCTGGAGTACAGAGGCGTTGTTGAACAACAGCTAACAGAGGTAAATTTCTGCTGCTGCTTCCCTTTGTTTGGCTCCTCTGATATTGCTGTGAGGTAAAATGTTGAGCATAAAATGTCACAAAGCCTTAAAACTCATGGCAACAAAATAACCACCGTTTTTCTCCGAACACATTTGGAGTTTAGTCTTGAAAGCAATTTTTTTGTGCAAAAATGATAAAAATCTGACAACCACATCAGTTAAAGCAGCTTTAACTATTGAGTAAATGACACAATGCTATTTATCAGCTCTTTCTCATTGATTACCAATGCACAGGTTGTACTAATGGTGACATCAGCTTAGTTCTGGGAAGCCCGGGCTGTTGGTGTGGGCAGACGCTGATATCAGACATTACATCATCTCATCATGTCATCGTCTGAGAGCACAGTTATTTCAGTCACTATGTTTTCTATAATTCTTTGACTTTCTGATTTATAATTCTGTTTATAATTTCCACCTTTTTAATTTCAATATCACCTATTTCACATTTTCATCACTCCCCTGATTTAGCAGTATATATTTCAAAGTATCACATTAGTGCTATTTTTTTGTATTTGTATGAAAATTCACTGGAAAGCTGTGGTGATGATCAAACTTAATCTTAATCACCCTTTGTTTAAAAAATAGCTGTGAAAACACCAATTGGCCAGTAGGGGGTGATGGCGTGCCAGCCCTGCCTGTGCCAGCGTGCACGCAGGACAATAGCTGTGACGAGAGGCATGTTGAGGAATCTTTGCTGGAGGAAAAACATGTTTTGATCATGAGTGTCTTTGTCATTAAAGCTGGATGTATGTTTGCAGTTAAGTTTTGTTTTGGCTCAGCTCCCTGGATTTTTCCTGCATGTGACGACTGGATGATTAAACCATGAGATGTTTACTAATCCAACAGTTTATATTTTAAACAGGTTGAGCTGCTCAAGTAAAAAAAAAAAAAAAACCCTCTGAATGTATATGAGGACTATAAGTACTGTGCCATGTTCTGTCAGTGACTTGTGTTAGTTTCAGCGTGTAATTATCTCCTGTCTTCTTCAGTGTGTAATTATCTCCTGTCTTCTTTTCTACTATAGCGATACTCTATAGCATGTCACTCAAAGACAATGGGCCGTGTCAAAACACGATACAATGAAATGAACAGGGTTTGCTCATGTTGGATAATATGTAGGTTAGGTTAATACATAGGTTACCACTGATCCACCTCGTTCATGGCTGTGAATAGAAACCGTCTGAAGTGTCATCAGTTTGCTGGGAAAACAACAGCCATAGTTAGTATATAGTTTGTAAATAGCAAATCATAGTTATATGATAATTACTAGAATCATGTTATTTTTTATAATATTCAATACAATATAAAAAAATATGTTTACGATGCTGAAGAGATTTGTGTTTACATTTTATTTAAGTTCTTATATATTTGGTTTTATTTGTGTTTGATAATTATTTATGTTGAAGTTTATGTTTAGAAAGTAAAATCACAATCCTCAATTATAATTTTTAGTTTGTTAACGGCATCTTGGGAATCATGGCCAAGTTAAAAAAAAAAAAAAAAATTTCAGAAATGTTTTACTTCCTAATATCTGTATCTGCACGAGCCTCCAAAAATCCACATCAGTGTTTAGCCCCTGAGTGAGCCGGCTGATGATTAATGTGACTATGACCGCACACTGACTCGTTCAACGCTAACAGCCGTCATTCATCATTTTCTAAAGGTTCATTATGACAAGACTGTAAAGGTCATTGACAGGATCAAAAATTAAAATCAGGTCTTTCTTAAATCACATCTTTTGGTTTCTGGTGTTAAGGTTTTTTCACTGAGAGATCCTCACCTCGATACTTTTCATCTGCTTTTACGTTTGAGTTTGTGGCCAGAGCTGTTTTACCGGCTTACAAAGTTCATTTACTTGCCAAAAAAGATTATGTAACTCTGTGAGTGAAGAGCTTTTCCTTGTATGTATTGAAATGCAACACTGTAAAATGCTTCTCAAAAACCAGTTGAACAGTTCAGTTAGTGTTATGCAAATTTTTGGACTGCATTTTACTGAGACAAAGTTCTTCTAGACTTTGTTTTTGCAGAAAATTGAATGATGATCATTTGATTAAGATGTATATTTATCAAAAACACCCACATTCTCTGGCTCCTGTTTTTTCAAGCGTGAAGAGTTTCTGTTTTTCACAGTTTAAATGGCTTTAAATTCAACATCTCTGGGGTTTGGACTGTTGGTTTGGAGACAGAAAAGCAGCTGGAAAATGTCACCTTAGGCTCCTGGGACTATTTTTCTTTACACCAGGGGATTAATCAATTAAGTAGAAAAATAATGATGAAATGATGAGATGAAAATAATCAGAGTTGTAGCCCTACTTCACTTGATTGGGTTTCATGGGAAAGTATTGCTGTTGCTTAAAGTAACTTTACTTCATTCTAAATATTCTTTAAGTCTCAAGATTCAAACATTTAAAACACTTGAAAAAATTTTTTTATTCTGTTAAAAAAAAAATCTGGATTTTTAAAATTACAAAGTCTGAGCTGGACTGTATCTGAGGATGATGCTCTCCAGCCCTGCCGCCATAGTTAATGTATTCTGTCTGTCTGTCTCTGTCTGACTGGCAGACATTTGTTTGGGTTTTGCACTCGCTGACCTGCCCACTCCGCACAAACACACACACACACACACACACACACACACACACACACACCCTTCATACCCATCCGTCCCTGACCACTTCCCCTCTGGGTTTTGTCATCCTTCCTCGTTGAATCCATTTTTAAATTATCTTTACTCCTCCCCTCGTTCCTCCTCACTGCTTCCCACCTGTCCAATTTTAGCCTTTGTTTCTTTTTCTTCCCCTGTTCGGACTCTTCGGCATCCACCCTGCTCCTCCCTCGTTTATTGCTCCTCTTTCCACCCTCTTCTGTTCACCTACACATCCTGAACCCTGCACCATCAATAAACTCTACCTCTTCTCCCGCCTCACAGATGAAAATGCTGGTCATGTCCATGGCACAGAGGTTGGAGGAGATTGAAGCTGGGGTCCAGGATGTATACGATGAGGTGTGACAGCGATGGACGACCGCTGGATGTCTGGGTGGGTCCAGGTGTTGAACTTACCCTTTTTTTTAATATATCCTCACCCCCATCTCTACCTTGACATTAATGCTTCCTCTTCTAAGTTTCATCTCAAAGACGTTCCGTTAGTGGCACGTCTTGTCCTAGCTTCACCTTGTGTAGAAACACCACACACACACTGTTCGCTTTGTTCTGATTACCGATGGTGAAACAAAGATTCCCCGCACTCGTAATCAATCATGTTGTCAGCTTGTGCTCCTGCGGCTCGAGGCACCATCTTTCCTGTGTGTCTTGGTGCGGAGTGAGTGTGTGCTGGGAGCAGAATGTTTATTTGTGCAGGATTTCATCAGGCGGGCTGCACACTCAGCACATCGCCATATCGATTGGGCCACTGGAGGCCACAGACACTTTTCTCTTTGTTCTCCTCCTGAAACATGAGGCCATGAAGGCAGATGAACCCGCTGGAATAAATGTTTTAAATGGCTGGAACAGAGCAACACTCAATTTGTATTGACAACCTTTTAAATAAAAGACACACCGTGTTAACTGCATAAAAATATTTAGAATGCAATTCAAATATTGCCAGCATTTAAAATAGACAGCTGTTTGCATTCGTTCATTTGTTGTTGTAACATTTCTTGATTATTTTTGTTTGTTTGTTCACAGTTGTACCAGTTTGGTTTTGTCTTATGTTTTTTTCTGTAATAAAATATTCAACTGTTTCCATAAATGAAGATATTATTTTAGTATCGTCAGTTTTTACATAAAGAATTGAATTAACAAAAAAAAGACATTTAGCCTTAAAATCAGGATAATCTCATTAAATGTTTCTGTAACATAGTTTGGGATCATCCTGCTTGGTCTCTAATTACAAGTATTTAAGAATTAAACCTCAAAGTTGAAGGTCTTTGGGATGGGAGGGTTGATTATATATTAAATGCGTGTGTTTGTTTACCAACTGACCCCTAATGTGCCTAGCAACACTTTCTGCCAAGGCGGGAAAAAAGCAGCAACACACTGTACCACTTGCCCTCCCTCACCCACGAGGTTTCATCAGCCTCACAGAACAACAACAGTTAGAAAGGGCCAACCAACACGCTGTATCCAAGGGCAGGTTGCGATGGCAACTGAGAGCACGTGCTATGCTGAGTGCCTGTTGCCATCTCGTCACCGTGCTCACTGTCGGAAGGAACAGCCAGCCAGCTCGCTGCCCGGCACGCCTGTCAACAGACGTTACCGCCCCATCATGCTTAGACATATACATGGAGGAGGAGTCCTGCACCCCCACCTAATCTCTGTGTGATGTTTTTCTCTCAGCTAACCCCACCCTCACCCTTCCTTCTCCCTCCCCCTCCATATAATTCTCCCCTCCCTCATATGCAAAGGGGGCTGGGGGGTGGGGGGGTCAAAACAACAACAAACAAGCCGCGTGGTTTTTGTTGTTTCTGGTGGTTTGAGTCGTGGTGTTGTCCTCATCCGGTCCTCGCTCAAGGTTGACGCGCCTGCATGCATCCTGCTCAGAGTGAGGGTGGTGCGAGCCCGTCCAGATGTGCGCTGCTGCTCCTCGTAACACACTCATTTTGTTGAATAGGTCCCAAATCGCTAGTTGTTCCGTTCAGAGCAATAAAGCCAAAAAGGCTGGTAGGTGTGTTTGAAGGCAGAGTCACTCACTGAGCGGCCTCTGAACTCATTTAGCTGTTTTATATATAGACATGGTGTTGCTGGATGCATTGCACTGCTGAGTGCAATTATTGCACAGGTTTCACCCCATTCACCCCTCAAGTCTCAGCCAATCGTTGCCACTCAAACCAGGAGCAACATGGAAACACACGTCCGCACATTTACACACACTCTACATGCGCTCAGGGACAAAGGATGAATAATGCAGAGGTAGTGTCTGAGTGAAAGTCGCCTCCCCTCTCTCCCTCCTTTTCACCTTCCCTAAGCAATAAGGAAGCAATGTTGCCATGGAGGCAATGAAGCCCCGGCACACAGTCAGCCAATTACAGCCCTCACTGTGTGAAACATCGGACCAATGGCTGCTCAGACTTGTGCTGCTGTTGCCACAGACACTGAGATCCTATTGGCTGAGCTCTGCTCTTTGATTGAATTTCTGATCTTGTTTTTGAGAGAGAGAGAGAGGAAAAAAAAAAAAAACTCAAGGAGTGCCACCTGTGTGCCAACTTACAAAATATGTTTGTTTTATTTTCCATGAAATAA